GCGATGTGGATCCGCTCTTGAAGGCACCTGATCCTACACTTCCCTAGCATCCATACTGGCGTCCAGCTAAAAGACGGTAAATGAAGCGACTTGTGGGAGGCACCCCACCAAGTTTGTTTTTCTTTCGTTGTTTTTGTCGGTTTGTCGCATTGGAACGATGGTTTCATCACCCAGTGTGTTTTGCTGATGCTAGCCCCGCTGACTGGTCCACTTCCAGTCTCCCAGCAGTGTTCCAATCCGGTAACATCGTTCTCCTTATCTTTCCCTCTACTCCATTGAGGGCAATGTCGTGCTTAAGTGTGGGGGGATGCTTTGTATCGGTTGGAATATTTATTTGGTGCTTGGGGGCCTGTCCCCTGTCCGAATCTTACGATTTGAGGGCTTCCAAGTACTGCTGTTTGATCATATTGGCACTGTGTTTTGATGGATGAATTGATTGGTTTTCGGAATTAATGCATGACAACTTGTTTGCGACTAGGACACCTATAATGAGGACTGAGATGTGCAAGTAGAACGATGTAGGGGTTCAGTTTTTCAAGCTGTTTGCTTGCCAACTGTGACTTGATCTGATCACTTGTTTCTTGACAGTCGTTTATGCATCTAGTTCAGGGTATCAGAATGTGAGATAGAGCATATAGGTAGCCATGTGAGATTTGAGCTTGCTCGTTTCTTTCTTGTGCGATAGATCCCTCTTCCATGATGCGTAGCATTCACGTTGTCACTAGCTAAGATGATGGGGGCATAGGATTAGCCCACGCCCAAAAACTGACTGTCCTGATGTGTCATATCCCTAGTCAGCCCCTTTGAGCCGTGTGTTTATCCTTTCTTTTGGTCTATAACAGAAAAAAATCACCCTTGTTGCATATTTTAGAAGGTTCCACAGGGTGGTTTTTACATATTCTCTGCTGTTTCTGCTAAAGTCTATGTGAGTGTTGGAGGTAGTGCTTAAAAGTTGGGCAGGTGTTTGAAATTTGTGCAGGAGTGGTGGCTCTTTTAAGAAATGAAAAGAAAAATGAAAGTAAAACAAAGAAAAATTGAAAGCAAAAGAGAGCCACTACCAAAATCTGGAATAATGCCCATTAAGTAGTGTTTCTTAGCAGTCTGGCTTGGAAATGCTGATGTTTATGCCTCCTTCGCTCTTGTGCTCTTGAGATGTTGAGTATTGCAGAATAGCATAAAGGAAAATACCGGTTTGTTTGACTGTGATTGTGGTGTTTGGGAAATGTGGAACCTTTTGCTATGAATACTTCCACCACCTAAAAGGCTTTTTCCCCATGTCCAAGACCCTAGCCAGTCATTTGAACCTGTGTCTAAGACCTCCTGATTAGTTAGTGATGACATTATGTATGTGAACTCTAGCATTTAGAGGCTGCCATCATGGTGAAGAGATGTTAGGGATGAGAGAAATAGCATGCGCATTTTTCGCATTAAATTGTCCTGACCCCACTGGTCGAGAGTGAGTGATTCATTTTCATATTCTCTATACTCTTGTACCCCGGTGAGGACCTAGATTGCTCGGTCTCTGTTCTGATGTCTTGAGTTGAATGCATGAGTTGACTGTTTTGAGTGAGTGGTCGAGTCAAGTCTAGGTTGGTTGGTGAACAGAAGGTAAAACTCTTCCGTTGCTCGATTTTGCTGCACTCGAATGTCCTTTGTGGTGGTTGTCCAGGTTGTTATTAAAGTTGTTCATGTGTTGGTGTTTGAAAACCAGTTTGATTCACGTGTTCTGTGCCTTTATGACTTGTCCCCAATGTTGGTTGACTGAAATATTTGAGCTTACCTTGTGTAGTACTTGGTTTGCTTGGGGACAAGCAAACAGTTAAGTGTGGGGGAATTTGATAGCATCGTATTTGCACGTGTTTTCACTCTGGTTTCCTGCCCATTTTGGCTCGAATTGATTTTTCCTTGGCCTATTTTACGCTAGGTTGTGTTCCTTTGTCACATTTCAGGTCCTAGCACATAAAGTGAAGCATAGGCGCAAGTTTCAAGTCAATCAGAGATCAATTGACGATTCGGGAGAAGAAACTCGGGTATGACCTGAAGAAGAATGGATTTATACCTCACTTTATGGACAAAGAATCATGCAAGCTTGTCATGAAAAGAAAGAGGACGAGACTACGAGCGTCTGGGTTCAAACGGCGACTGATTTGGAGTCCGGACGAGGGAGAAACGAAGCTTTGAACAGGAGCGGAGACAGAATTACAGGCAGCCCCTGCCAAATTACGGCCGTAATTGGCCAGGGCATGCCCGTAATTTATTGGCCGAGCCTTCTACCCAGAATTCCCTCGCGGTGATAAAATTACGGGCAAGACCCCAAGAATTACGGCCGTAATTCCCAAATTACTGGCGGTAATTGGGAAATTACGGGCGTATCTCCTTCTCCTGCAGCTTAAGTGAAACGTGCGTTTTGGTGTGAATTACGGGCAGGAAGTGATTACGGCCGTAATCCTGCCCGTAATTCGCCCAGAGTCGGGTTTTTGGAGGTAGATTCGAGCCAAGGAAGAAGGAATTCGATTTTCTGAGCAAAAACAGAGTTTTAGAGAGAGAAAGAGCGAAGAACAAACCCTAGGAGCTATTTTTGGAGTGGATTTCTCATCATTGAAGCCCAGATTGCGTCCCTAGGAGTGAAGATTGACACCCCAGAGCAGATTTTCCTCATCTTTATGAGTATGACCACTCTGATTTCTGTTTTCTCTTCTCTCTCTATGGAGTAGAACCTTTCTCTCACTTGGGTATGAAGAACCCTAGTTCCTTTTGTTAGGGATTTGATTGTAATGACTTGGGATGATATTATTGTTTGATTTTAATCGAATGATGCATGTTTATTGAATTGATTTGAGTCTGATCAGCTTTTTCTCAATTTCTGCTGCAACCTGAGATAGATAGAATCTGATTAGGTTGTTAGAGCCTCTTCATTCGATAGTAGGAGATTGGCTATACGAGAGTTAGCCAGTTTACTGCTTTGTACTGGTGTTCTTGACGCCAGTAGGGGAGTTCTGTGTTCATAGCCTCAGCTTTCTATCCCGGTGAAGACTAGTCGTCTGCCGGGTAGTTAGACTGAGAGGGCTTGGTCAGCTTAAGAGATTCCAAGCTACTGTCGGATCTTCCGCAGTCTAATCAACAGTAAATCAACCCAGGGAATTGCAATTGAACCTAACCAAGGGGCTAGGGGGACTCAATCCCGAGTGACTCTTACCTGCTTTTGAAAACCGAACCATTTCCTGCTTTCTTACTGCTTTTGCTTTAAACAACAATCACTCGAATTAGTTTGCTAGATAATAGAGAATCACGGAGTAAGCAGTAGATCTAGACCCCGGGTTGATAATTAAACTTGCCTGTTACTGCATTCCCGGACTGCGATTACACTTGGTCGCAGTTTGGTGTTGTGTTTTGGCGTGTCAGTTCACAACCAAAGTAGCGGGTTCATGGTCGTGAAATTCGGTCGTGAAGTTGACCACGACTTGGGTCATGGTCGTGGCTCTAATCGTGACCTAGCTATGAGTCTTCTTTTATCCCTTGAAAGATTTACCCTTCCTTCTCATGCTAGGACATGTGATTAGGAAACAAAACACAACCTAGCATAGAATACGGTAAGAATGAGCAAGCTACAACTCGAATGGCAAAAACTTTTTTATTTTTTTTGACAAAGGACACTGAATTTCCATTAATTGGAGCAAAGACCAATCATTACAAGAGTGGTGCAACCATATCAAGAATCTGCAACCATTGCGAGGGTAGTTGGTTTTTAGCACAAGACCTGGCCACCCAATCCGCTTTTGCGTTGTTTTTACGGCTGATGTGTTGAATCTTGATCAGCGGGTTATCACTCATGATCTGTTTAATCAAACTCAGCCTTGCTGCCGCTCGCCATGGCCAAGTTCGGGGATGCCGATCGATAGCCTGAACCAGCTGCAGGCAGTCAGACTTCACAATGCAGGGGGCAGTGAGCGAGGCAGCCAAACGGGAGCCCTCCAGAAGGGCCAAGGCTTCTGCTTCAATTGGGGAGAAACAATGCACAGGCTCAGCTCTAGCATCACAAACTTGACCGTGGCTGTTCGAGACAACGACGCCATAGGCCGCCTTCTGGGAATCGTCAAAGAACTATCCGTCGCGGTGTACTTCAAAGTCATGAGTACCTGGCGGTGGTGAAGAGTGTTCAGGGGGTGGATTGAGCTGAGTAGAGGTGGTTCCGGTGGGTTGGAACCTTGGGCACGTGGTCCACTGGAGATGATCGTTCGAAGCCTTCATGATGGTGGCTGGCTGGGGGCCAAGGAGGGGATCCCCGAAAGATCTTCTCGTTCCTTGCTTTCCAGGTCTGCCACATGAGAAAGATGATCTTTTGGATTGAACTGATCGGATACACTTGTCGGAGGGAATCCAGCCACACCAGGACAGAGGACAGAGGAGAAGGGCGGGGCAAAGAGGGCCATTCATGGCTCCACCCCTCAGCAGCATGGGGGCAGGTAAAAAGGCAATGATAGATCGATTCCTCTTGGCAGTCGCAAAGCGGGCAGGTCTTCGATGCTGCACATTTTCTGGCAAAAAGGTTTTCTTTTGACGCCAAGGCTCCCCTGGTCACCTTCCAAAGGAAAAAACTTCATCTTCGGAGGGATCGAGAGACTCCACAGCCACTTCCACCTTTGCTTGCTCTCATCCAAGAACTCATCTGCCTGTCCATGGTTCTGCCTGGTGCTATTATGGAAGTGAATGAACGCCGATTTGACCGTGAAGGATCCCTGTTCCGTGAATCTCCATACCCAGAAGTCCTCTAGAGATTCCGGTCCAATCGGGATGGCTGCCACTTGTTTAATTTCATGCTGGCTGAGAAAATTAGCAAGCATATCGAAATTCCATTCCCTCGACACCTCATGGATCCAAGAGTTCACAGTGGTACTTTCATTCCAGTCGAATTGAAGGAGGGGCCAGCTCTGTCGAATCTAAGTCCTAGGGTATCAAAAATTAATCACATATAGCATAGTATCAACCCGAATCTATTTAATCCAAGAACCCACCAATTTATTTATCACCACCAAACTGAATAGAGGTTCCATCTCGGAAGTAGGGGTTGTAGCTTAAACGCAACCTAAAAAAGGAAACTTCATCAAATCTTAAACATATCCACACGAAATAGGCAAAATTTACTTCTCAAGAAAATGTAAATAGGGAAGAGTCAAAACTCAAAGTACCACTCACCTACAATGAGCAAAACAAAAACCACATTATAGAGCAAAATCCTTTTTGTCTTCATAAATGTATATATACTAAACAGCAAACTCTCTTTAGTTTTGTAACACTAAATAGCAAGAACTCCGAGCACAGGTGCGTTTTTCTTTCCCCCTAATCCCCACTCGTATCATATGATACAGGTCAACTACAGACGCCAATACTGTCCTCTCTTACAAAATTTACTTTCTTAATCGAACCTGAGCGAAAACCAACCGATTCGGAGGAAACAAATGGGGAGTCACAAAGCTTCTGGTTGCTTTACAGAGACTGAATAAAGACCTCCAGCCACGCGCAAAAGCAGCTCTCAACAAGCACATCCTCCTGACTGGCCTTGATTCTGGGATGCATTTGCGTTTGAGGACTTCAGGTTCACATCAACCATATCTTCCTGCTTTGTTGATGAAAGTGTTTCCATCCCTGGCAGTGCTGCAGCAATCTTTCTAAACAGGGCCTGAACAAAACAATTGAGCCAGAAAAAATAAGGCATCGTATTGGAAAGGGTTGCCAACTGTACTCCATGAAGTTCCCTCTCGTCTGAAAGACAACCGTACCTTGATGTTAAAACCTGCCTTGGCGCTGGTTTCGATAAACATGACATTCATCTCACGAGCTTTAGCTTCTCCTTCCTCTACTGAAACTTGCCTGTCATTTTACCAGAATTTGAATCGCTAATAATATATTTAAGCAACCATGATTCGAAAGGATGCACCTTTAAAAATATAAGTATCTCTCACTTCCCTCCTATGACCTATCAATCCCAGATAATTTAACTTCCCTCCTTTCTGAAGTTGTAATCAATTACTAAACAGGTTCACAAAAGCGAGCGAGCGAGAGAGAATACCAATTCAAATACCCTAATCCTTCATTAATTTCATGTTACACATGCAAACCCAACTTAGGAAAAAAATTAAGGCATTTATTGTTAGGGAACATTTGCTAAACAAATTAAGGCTCTAGAAGGCACAATATGGAGTCATACAGTCCAACCATTTGAAAACCTAGTAGGCTGCATGCAAATCAGGAAGCAACCCTTTCAGAATTAACTCCCAAGAAAAGAAAAAAGTAAAATCACCTTTTGTCCACAAGATCGGTCTTGTTTCCAACCAGTACAATGATAACATCGCTTCCCCGCTCAGTACGCACCTCTTCGATCCACTTAGACGTGTTCAGAAATGAATGCCTACCTAAATCGTAGAAAAAATTACAGATGTCAAATGAATTAACAGGTAGCATATGGGGGAAGGTGAAGGCATGAAGGCCAAGGAAGCGGCAATTGCAAGTGCCACAGGAGAGATGATAGAATGAGTTATGATCTGCCACAAAAGAATACATACGCAAAGGAGAAAGAAGTTTGGCAGAAGCAATTAAGAAAGAACATACTTGCAACGTCATAAACAATGACTGCCACAGAGGAATCCCTAATGTAGCTTGGAATGAGACTCCGGAACCGTTCCTGTCCTGCAGTGTCCCTGTAAAATATAAAGTGTTTTCATTTAAAGAACGTCCACTGACTGCAGTAAGAATTATCAGCAATTCGTATCATCAATCATTTTGCAAAAAAAGATTTTCAAGGCTGCTTAAGATTAATAAACAGTTTATTAGAGGTTCTTGGCAAGTCTGTGCAAAGTCAGTAGGCCATTGCAACGTCCCATTAAGATTTTTTGAGTCCTGACAACACCTTGTAAGGAACTATTATGCAGTGGACATTTTCGATCACATTACGAATCAAAGGTGCTAAAGAAGGAATGCATACAACAAGCATCCGAAATTGCTTTCTACCTAACCAAGAAAGACTCCCAACTTTTGGCGCATCAACTCCTTGACCTTCAAAATGCGGTATACACACAGAAAATCGAATTAAAGTAACTGGAGTTGGACGCAGCCAAGGTAGACAGTCTTAAGATCATTACATAAGAACATCAGAGAAGTCATGTTAAGTACTATGCACACATGCATTACGCGATCTTTGCATGTGCATAATACCAAGAACTAGCATAAAACAAATTTTAAGTCAATAGTGTATTAATCTGAAAGCTATAGCCAAGATGACGCAAGTAAGGTTCCAGAAATGGATAGATTCTTAGATGGTAACACAATAGTTGCAATGTACAGATTATAAGTGTCTACAATAGGGTATGCCGATGAAGGGAAAATCTAGCAAAATGAGGGTCATATGAACAAGTCTATACTATAAAGTCCCGAAACCTCACCATAGCTGCAATCTAACAGTTCTGTCTTCAAGGTACATCGTCTTTGAGAGAAAATCAATACCAATGGTAGCCTGGTTGTCAAGAAAAGGTCCGGCAAAATTAGAATAAAAGAATCGTATTACATAAACAACATCCAGTTTGCTCAGATCTAAAGTTAATCACTTGTACAATTAGCTTAACTCTATTAGTCCATGTGAAAATGCTAGTCCTACGAGCACAGTGATTCAGCAAGTAGCAAGCAACCCTAACTTCGGATCTAGATATCATAAGTTCAAGCCAAGCTGCGGCCAGGAACAAATCAGAAATGTGGTTGTGAGGACTATCCTTTTTTGTGCCAATGAGAATCAAAACGAAACCAAGCGAACATAAAAGACATTGAATCACATGAAACCATAACAGGCATTGAATCGTCGATTTACCAATGTCACTTCGTCACCTACTAAGCTAATGGCACTGCTCATGCTAACACTCTAAACAGCTCACTAAGCTTGAGTACTAGAAAACTGCAACCACGGTCCAATGCTCTTAAACTGAATTCGAAGAAGGCGAATTCCTCCCTACTAGTCAAATGAGCAACAACAGCTAGCCTAGAAAGCTCCGAATCAAAGAAAACAAACCACAACTCTACACGCACTCAGATCGGGTCGCATAATCGGTAACCATTAGCAGTGTGCAACATTCAAATGAACCGAACAAATCAGATCCACGCAAAAGTTAACGAGAACAGCAGTTCTAATCGGATCAAACAGGGAGACGAGATGCAAAACAATTGAGAATCCCGCTTCGGATCCAGCCGGAAATTACCTGATAAGTATTGTCGAACTTATCGTACATGAAGCGGGTGATGATGCTGGTTTTACCCACAGACTGATCACCCAAGAACACCAGCTTGTACTTGGCCAGAGCCGAAACCGGAGCCATTATTCCAGACTGTGCTATAAACTACCGGACCGAGAATATTTCGGAATAGCAGATACCGCCGGAGATGTTCGACCCTTGATGCCGCCGGAGAGATCGACGGACGAAATCGAGATCCGGATCCGCAGAGAGAAAGAGGTAGGCTGTTAATAGGGGATGCCCGAGTTGCTGTTGACTCGGAGTTTTTATTGGAGGCATACTTATACTAGTTTTGCTTTCATGGTTTTTTGTAAAATTAACCGTTTAACCAGTAACTGTTAATAACTTTTCATTTGGATCCTTACTCATTCCTATTTATTATCGTCGTAAATAAATCAATTAGTGAAGCGGGAGAGAAAGCGTCTCTTGTTCAAAAATTTATAATCGAGAGCGTAATGACTAATAACTAATGACTAATGAGAGCGTTGTTTTAAATTATGTTCAATTAATTATACTCAATTAATATATTACATTAAATATAACCACATAGTAGAAATAATATATTTCATTGTCATGAATCATGATTATTAATAACGTATTATAGTGAAATTACATCAATTTCAATAGAACATCCATCTGATTAAACTTTATATGTCCCCTCAAATACAAAAAATTGAAAGCGATTATTTAATCGATGACTTGAGCATGCATTTGGATTAATTTCATTTTTTAACGGTTTATTATGATAGTTGATTACCACGTAAGCTATAATGAATGAAAAATGATCATTAATTAAATAAAAGTATAAAATTAGTGACAAAAAATAATTAAAATAATTTTAGTGATCAAAAGATAAAAGATTTTAATAATTCCATTATATTTTACCGGTCCTAATACAAACTCCATTTTCATTGGGACGATAAGAAGCACTTCGGCCCAAATCCGTGAGATGGGCCTGGCCGCCTTTGTCTTCATCGCTCCGGCGCCAGCTAACGACGAGCTTTAACCCCTCATCAAAACCCCACCGGCCGGCCGCCACCAATTTCATTTCTCTCATTTTCCGGTGGACCGGTTTCCCAGAACAAGCATTTGCCTCGGCTGGAAGAAAGAGCAGTAAAAACCTACCGATAAGGCTGCTAAAATGGCGAACCTCCGGACGGCAATCGATTCCGCCTTCTGGGACCAGCCAGTCTCAACCCCTCAAACCCTAGAAGGCTCCGCCCGTTCCGTCCCCGGCGAACCATTCCCCCTCGACGCATCTCGAGCCAGCCGAGCCCTCCGGATTCAACAGCTCTCCCTCCTCGGCCATGGCTTCCCTCTCGGCGTCATCCCTTCTTACTCTCCCACCCGCAATCATGGCTCCCTCGCCTTCCAGTCCGCCTTCCTCAAGCTCTCCGTCTCCGATTGGTAAACTCCCACTTTCGCCCACCAACTCCCCCCTTTCTCGATTTGTATTTCTTTACTTTGACCATTTCTGGGTTCGCAGGTGGCTTGGTCTTGTTGGCCAATTCCGACCCAAGAAGCTAATTTCATCCATCAGAAAAGAGTTCTTCAATGGCGGTGAGTTGGAGCTCCCTGCATTCAGAAATGTGGCCAAGCATGTCTTGGATAAGTCGCTCTACTCCCTCGGCTTCTACTCGCAGTTTTCCCCATCTCCGTCTTCGTCTGTCTTGCTCTCTACTGAACGTCATGGTGACAAGAAGAGACCTCGTTACAAAATGATGCTCTTCCACAAGGTAAATCTCTCTGCTTTCTGATTCTTCTTCCTTTCTATGGGAAACCTAATTGGCTGTGACTTTGAACCATTGCTGGAAATGTGGTGTTGCAGCTTCCTAACCACGACGTGACATTGGAGGCAGGATTTCCTGAGCTGTTTGTTGACCGTAAAGGAGGGTATTGGGATGTGCCAGAGTCGATATCGTTAGACATGGCTTCCCTCCCCAATGAATCGGGTTTTCTATACCGTTTTGGCATACACAAAAACGGTGGGCAGCCTCATGATGCTGTTAACACAGTGAATGGTGAGGTACCCAGTTCTTTGATGCCTGGATTATGTGGGAAGGCTGCCTGTTCTTATGAGAAGAGCAAGGACTTTTGGCGGGTTAAGGATGCCAAGGAGGACACTGCAATTATGACAGATAAAGGCCCTGTTTGGATTCCTCCTCCTTACGATGTGCGTCTAAAGGAACCACACTCTGCAATTTCTGGGATCATTGGTAATGTTGCTGCCTTTCAGTTATCTTCATTGAATCGTATTAGTTCCTGTCCTGCTGTTACATTTAATTGGCCATTTTGGAGAGTGATAATGGCAATAGTAGGCTATTGAACAAAGATATTGATTTCGTTGGCACTTTTGATGTGTTTGAAAATGTACATCAGTACATGTAATCTCAAATACTTAAAAAATGATGCAATCTCCGATACTCGAGGTAGGAACTACCTGAAAATACATGTAGAGTGCATCTCCCATATTTGTTTTTCCCCACTTTTCTTACATAATCTTTCATGTATAAATACACAGAAGCAAACAATGGGTTTTAGAAATGCAATTCAGATAGTGGCATGCAATTCAGACCGTTAACATTCATTTACAAATACATAGCAGTCAAAACTTTACCTCATCTGTCAAATCCTATCCTGGAACAGGATTGCTCCTTTACGCTTTATCACCAAATACTGGATGTTTGATCTTGTAATCACGTGATTAACAATCTGATGGTTCCTTCCTTTCTATCCTATTATCACCTACTTGGAGACCTGTCTTTTTCCTCCAAAGTTTGACTAGTTTCTGTGACCATGTCTGTTATATATATGACATTTCTCTAGCAGAAAATTCTTTTCAAGCTTGGAAACCTGCCTGCTGCATTTTGTTCCCAACAACTTGCTGATTTTATTTTATTTTCTTATCTTCTACGCATTACTAGGGGCCACCTGTGCAGCCTGGCTCGGTGGTGGGGATGATTCATCAGCAAGCAGTAGAAAGAGAAGCCCAGTGAGTGCAGATTTGTTTGGCTCGGTTTGCTATACCTTGCAGCACGGGAAGTTCAGAAAGGACTATGGTGACTTGACAAGATTGGATGCTCGCCTGGATATTTGCTCAGCTTCAGCTCTTGCCAAGGAGGTTTTCAATGCGTTCCGGAAGTCGGAGGGCAATCCAGACCATCATGATCGACTGTCTTCTCCCCGGTTGAGTTGTATCTTCCAGCAGCAGGTACGCGTGAGAAGTTGATTCTCAACTCAACCAAAATGATTAGCTAAGATCGTCTTTGGTGTGGTGAATAACACAGTTACGTCTGTTGCAGATTGCCGGTCCCATCATGGCTCGAGTGGATTCAAGGTTTGCACTGGGTTCACCATCATCAGGGAAGGACAGGACCGCACATTTGGAAGATGTGATATATAGCTTGAGTTACTCACTGAGGCTTCTCAAGTCAGGGAAAGTTGTTGCTTGGTATTCTCCCAAAAGAAAAGAAGGGATGATCGAACTGCGCTTGTTTGAGTTCTAGTTTTTGCTTGCTCGTTTATTTTTTTAGCTCACATTGTTTGTTGTTTCGGCTGGAATGCAATGACGCTTCTGCATCCAAGTATTGTATTGATATTTTTTTTATTGTAGAAGTACTAGAGGGGATTAGCCGCATGTTTTAGTTCATCAATCGTTTTGTTGCTCGTAATAGGAATGCCAGTGAAATGGAAATGAGTTCTCTCTGCAGTTTTTGGTTCTCTTCACAGTTTTTACATACTTGGCTTCGTATATGAAGCATCTTGGTATACTCTTATTGCTAATCGAATCATGGCGAACCATGCTATTGAATGGGGGGAAAAAAAAGGCCTTTGATCAAGGATAAAATGAGAATTTAAATTAAGCAACTACTGATTAATGAAAAATTTAGTGATAAACATGAAACAAACTAAGAGACCGCGAGTGACCATTGACCAAACTTATTATGCCACTAGTCCGATTCAGTGCGCGAATCAATACACAAGGCCAAAACAGATGTTCATGAACACGATTTTTCAAGCTTAACTTAAAACTCTCCGCCTATGAAATTTGTCTTCAAGTAGTTGCATCGAGCTCACTGAAGCTTTACTCCACTACAGCCAACAAATCACTAGCCTTGCAAAAACAATGTCTGCCATCCGTTCCCAGATCGACCTGGACAGTTCAAAGCAGCCTTTGATTAGCAACCAACGAGCGGAAGGGAAACCCATAAAAAAAAAAAAAAGCCAAGAACTGCATACTGCTGTTTTATTATCTTTCGTCATGAGCAGTGTTTGGAAGCCTCATGCTTGCAAATCAACGATTAAACATAGCATATATGCAACTCTAGCCTTCATACAACGACTCAGCAAGGTGCAGAAATGGGAACTCTTTGCCTTTAGGCAGTGCAATCTAAAGAGGTAATGAAGTGCGAGAGGGCCTATAGCCAATGGTTCGCACAGTACTGCTCCAACTTGTTCACAGCTTGGCATCATGCATAGTTTTGGCTTAGCAATAACAAGCTTCTCACGAAACAAAAAAAGGGAAACACTAATGCAATACTCACCTCATAAGCATTTACGTCCGAGAAAAGAACCTGCCAAAACGAAAAAAGATTCAATCAGGAACAAGCTAAAGCGAGTGGACTTGAGGGGAAATGGGCGGCAGTAGCGATTAAGCTAAAATATGGGTTTGACATCCTCACCTTTTTGCCGGCCTCTACCTGCCCCGCATCGGCCCCGACTGTCAACACCTGAGAGATCACAATTCACATCAACACACTTGAACACCACACAATGTCAGAGAGACCAACCAAACAAAGCTGACTTCGGCAATCAGGATGTTACCTCCCCAACTAGATAACGCTCAAACTTGACTGCTGACTTCGGCAACAGCACTCCCCCAGCTGATTTCTGCACCCCCAAACATTTAACTCAATTTATATCAATTTACGGTAGGGAAGGAAACAGCAGCAGGAGATCAAACTATGGAAAGGATACACTAATTGTTTCAGGGTATATATCTCACAGCCAAAACCAGTTATTGAATTAACATTATATGCACAACATCTTCAGCAACACTATCAGTAATGCCAATTGATGCCAAAACCCTAAAACATTCGCCCTATTCATTGAACCGAGCAGAAGGTGAAACTATTTCAGCATGAACGGAAAGCTGCAGGTCTACACCTTCGTCTTGTGTCAGGCTAGCATCTTAAACAACAGATTGATATGCGGAAAAAACAGAAACAGCATCCAATAGGAAAGTTGGTATAAAATTGGAGACTGAAATCATGGGGACTTTGTGAATTCAAACCTCGGCCAGCTCCTCGAGACGGATGAGGACTCTATCAGCTTGTGGCACAACCTGCAACCGCGAACAGTAGCAACCGGAATTGAAAAATGGCGAAATTTGCAACAAAAAAAAAAGGGGCAAGAAACAAAATTTAATAGACTGGGACGAGGGGAAGATAAGGTACCTTGGTGGGTTCCCATTGCTTGGACACTGCGTGAACTCTGAGGGAGTTTCTTCTCAATCCTGACGGCCCCAAGAAGAAAAAGGAAAGGAGATTGGTGAGGAAGAAATGCGATGGAAAAGGAAAAAATTGAGATAAGGGAGAAATGCGAAGGAGTTTCTTACCGATAAGGGTGGGTCGGGAACGAGAAAGGGAAGTGGTAGGGTTCACCAGCGACAAGGGTGGTTTGGGGAATGTGACAAATGTGCAGGACGCCATTGATAAATTGCTTGAGCTAGCTGAAACGAAAGGGCAGCCGGTAGGGAAGGCGATGGAGTTGTTGGCTGGCGGTTGGGTTTGATTAGCCTAAAACCCTGCTGCTGCTGCTGCTATAGCTCTCTCGTTCTCGTCGTCGTCGTCTTCTTCTTTGTCTACTCTATCCTTTGGACCGGACAGAGTTCTCTCGAATCTTCTTTTCTTTTCTTACTACGGAAGAGCTTCGGGCCTTCGGCCCAACAAGCTTTTTGAACTTCACTCGTTTCATTTTCAGGCCCGCTTTAATAAACAACGGTTGTCAAAAGTCACTTGACCATTGATTTAGGCTCCAAAGTAGAGCTCTCAAAATAGTGTCCGACCTGAGTAACTCGCACGATTAATCCAATTTGCAATGTATTTGTAATATGAATTGACAACAAAAAAAAAATTCAACGATTCGTCCAACCAGTACCCAGCTGACTCGTAATGCAAATGAATGGTGTAGCCCGTTTGACACTCGTTCTGATCAGTTTAGAACCCGATTGACACACAATCCGACTGACTTGTAACCTGATTGACCCATAGTTTGATCAATTCGTAACTTTATTCACCCGCAACTTGATCCCCCCCCCCCATTTGGGGCTACGAAACTAACTTGAAATCCATTGTGATGGAAAGTTGAGGTGAGAAAAGTCGGACAAAAACTATAATAAAGTGCCCATTCGGATGTTAGGTATGTGGTACGCGCGTTTGTCAGGCCATAAATGTCGTGGTCGGGCGTTCAGGACTCTTTGTCACTATACATTGTACTTCTAATCAGAATGTATATGCTGGTGCAGAGAGTGTCCCCTTGACCTCTTCCTTGTTGATGTTAAGTGTGTAGCTTTCTCTCGAGGTTATCTTCTTCTTAGACTCCTCCCACTCTCCCTATGATGATGTCACCCTTAGGGTTTTGCCCATAAACATTGGCTTCTCTTGGACTCTTTTTATGGCTTCTCTTTTTTGTTTATATAAAAAAAAATTGGTTTCATACCCTATCACGATTTTCCCCCCTTGTTAATCTTTCATTCGATGGATTGGAGGTTGAGAAACCACTAATGAGAGTGTCTGTATTTTGGTGTTGTAGAAACAACAAGAGATTTAGTGAAAAAGAGAGTGACCTAAGAAAAATTGGAAACTAAACTAAGATTAGATGGGTACGTTATGGGCCATTTTTAATTAATTGTAAATTTTTGGTATTTCTCAGTATATGTTGTTCTCTATCACGTAATTCTAAATATCGAATAATACCGCAAAATCATTCTCAATCACTAAACTACCTTGGTATTTGATGATACCAAATAGTGGTTCGGTATGGCATTCGATATATCCCAAACTTACGGCCCTATTCGAGAAGGCAAGATTTTGAAAAGAAAACAAATAAGACTTTGGAAAATATTTTGAAAGCAACAAAGATATCTTTAGGGATGGAATAAAAGAAATATAATTTATAGTCGGAATGCAGGAATAATAGCACCTCGATCCGAACCATAGAAATATTTAGTAAAAATAGGAGTAGGGAGTTTTGCATTCCAGGTCAACACCTAAGTGATGTCTTTTTCAAGCTTTTTGTTAGCTCGGTCAGTACTTTCGTTTGCTACATTATAAAAAGAATCTGACAACATTAACAGAGTCTGACGGAGACTGACGGCCGATAACTATACTTTCTGATCCAGGCAGTTAGTCTGAAATTGCAGACTTATCACTTTACTAGCTCTTCATGATTCAAAATGAACGATCTCAAAAGAGATCCAAAAGGTCAATTTCAGGCACAAAAATGGGACTGCCATTCTTTCACAGTTACACTGCTGCGCTTCTCTTCTCGCTGTAATAAGGAAGCAAACTAACTAAAGCGAAATAGAATAAGAAAGCAGAAGACAGATCATGGAATGGAATGGCTAGGCTGCTTCTCGATCTTCTGCAGGGAAATTTCCTGGCTTTTCCTAACCCAACCCACAAAATTATCTCAAGCCAAATTCTTCAACCCCACAACACCAACAAAAAGAATCTAATTGAACCATCTTCTTTCCCTTTCCTTTTCCCTTTCCTTCAACTCAAATTCTGGAAGGAGCAAAATGAACACATTCGCATTCCAGAAGAAGAAAACTAAAGAAACCCAGATAACAAGTTAAATCTTCCTTCTAAGAATCGTCGGTCCACTTGCAACCTCTTCTCCAAAGTGCGACGGTCGTCACCATCCATGCTTAAATCTCCCTGAACTCAAAACTCTTTATCAGTCAGCCATTATCCGCTTTAGCTGCCACACCCAGGAGTAAACTACCTCTACCCCACAGTAGATGGAGATCAACAAGAGCGGCGCAAATGGAAGCTTGTCACCAAGAAAGTAAGGATGCAACAGCTGCCCCCATGTCTCCACAATCACAATACCTATAATGTAACACTTCCCTCCCCATCCAATCACAAACTCTCCCTCTTCTCCTGACCTACTGCTGCTGCTGCTGCTTCCCTTCTTCCGAGTTTTCTTGTTATCAGATATGGTCGGTGGCTTGACCTTGCTGAATTTGGCACTGAATCCAAACCACATCAGCATTGAGTGCAGCAGCAGCAAGACCACTTTAATCGGGTACTCCTGGGCTTCATATAGAAGTGGAAACAACGAGTAACAAGTTGCTGCATTAAAGTGTACATAGAAAATGTAGTCTATCAGTTCAGATTTTAAAACACATATAATAACAGATTGAATCATCTGACAGGCAGTCGATCCACCAGCAAACTTTCTTAACCTATTGCATATATGTAACTGGATTTGGGCGCGGCCCGTTGGTCAAATGGAATTAGATGAAAGCACAATCATTAAAGTTTCAGGTTTGTGTTTTTCTCTTTTTCAGTCATATATGATTTTTCCGAAGTGCACACTCGCCATGTTTATGCTCTCCATGTTTACCTTAGTGGTAGGATTGAACCTAGATTTTAGACAGAGAAAGGGGGCTAATAGAGCTTATGCGGCCACTTCCAATGTTTTCTTAACATTTCCGTACATACATTTAATTTCAGATCAAAAAATAAGGGGAAAGTATTCCCTCCTTAACTACACTTAGCTCTGGAACTACTCAACAGTATCATTGTCTTCATCATCGACTCCACTTTCATCATCAGACCCCGCTTTCTTCTTCTTCTACGTAATAATCAAATTCGGTTTTCTAAAAAATTCACCATGAAAATTTTGTTTTAAGCGATGCCTTGAGACCACGTTTTTAGAAGTTTTTCTATGCTTTATTTTGTATGAAGACCATTTTTTTTTAATGTCAAGATCGAAAAATGAAATACCAAACAGAAGCCCAAGCTCAGGCAATGACCATACGTACTTCTAATCTCCCCGGGAAAAATAAATGTGTGCAGAAGGACATATAGCTTTCCTGAAAGTGTGCAGAGGCCTCTGCATTCTAGTCTAACCCCCTCCTCTCCTAGAACGTCCTTATGTTAATTAGTGTGTAGACTAAAATCAGCATATGTACCTATTGATAGCAGGAAGTAATGTTGTGCATCCTCCAGGCTCTGGACTGCAACAATAGCAAGGGGAATGACAAAATGGAGGGATGCCTTCTCGTGGACATGCCATCCGAATAGAAATCCACAAGTATAGGCATAAGATATCCATCTGGCAACCGACCCTGGATGTGGGTTCTTCCAGATCTTAACAAGACACGGAGATAGAGCTAGCAGCACCATGATGAGAGTTGACAGTGGAGTTACCTGTCATTTTCAGTGTTTGGATATATTACCATCTATGATCTAGCAATATGGAATCCAACAAAGAGAAGCACACCAATTCAGTTTCAGCCAAGTGAGCACAAATATGACTTCTTTCTATCAATTACTCATTCATGTAGGTAGATAAGAGTCGATTTTCCTTGCTTCGTACTTAGTCAGGCAACAGTAGGAAAGTTTCAGTATTTGACATCAAGCAACAATAGATGGGACTCAAAAAATATTTAAGAAAAACAGGCACAGAACTATTGATGAACAGAGTGAAAGCTTTTTTTCTAACATTATCAATGAAGCACTTGTAGGCTTGTAGCATTAATGAATAGACAAGGTTACCTGTGGTAGTACTGCGAAAGGAGATGAATCGCCAACTAACCCGCCTGTGAATGAAGCGGCTGGTGTTGGAATGTCAATCCCAAATTTCTTTAGCAGAAAAGCAAGGCCTTTATCTAATATGATATAGAAAACCCAGAAATTGGGAGCCCAGTATGCGTGACAAAGTCCCCTACCAAAAGGAAACATTCTGCTGATAACTTGTTGGATCTGCAAAGTATGAATCATAGAATAAATGCACTAAGAAAAACTAGATAACATAAGGTAAATGGTTCATCAGATTGATGTCACCGAATTCACATTGGCGACAGTTGCAGTCAGATCCATAGGAAAACACGCCTTCCTTTTTACGAGAGTGAGGTGTTGCAGGTGAATATTGTAACAAAATGACTGTCTCAAAATTGTAAGTCTTTAAGTTAGTTCTACATATACAATTGAAGTACTATTTGATGAGATGGTAACACAACAAGCCAGGCTATGTAAGCATTCTATAACCACCCTTTCGCAGTTGCATCCGAAAGGAGCACAGGACAAGTCTTTCACCTCAAAACACATTCTCAAACTACAGCCCTAAGACAGACAAAGTCGGCTACTTAGACGATTTAACCCTCTTGGTTAGGTTTAGCCAATTCTTAGGGTTTCAAGATTACCCAAGAAGCAGATGCAATTTCAATCATATTACTGTAAGCGGTTACAATGATGCAGAAGATGGAGGAGCTAAAACAGAAGCAAGGCGAGCAATCTTACTTGGCCATGGTAGAAGAATGGACCAAATGCAGCTGCAAAAACAGCCACGACGACAGTCCCCATGGCAGCAAGCCGCCCAAGACCCTTGAGCAATCCACCTCGGCAATAATGCCTCAACAAGTAAACAAAATAAACAGGTCCAGCCACAGCAAACAGGTGCTTAAAACACAGCAACACCGCGAACAGAAAGCCACCCATCACATCCCTCCCGTCTTGCAAGTAAGAAATGGACAGCATCAACAGACCGAGCAAAAACCCGTTGTACTGAAAATGCATATGGTCGACAATCACAAGCGCCGGGGACCAAATCACCAATATCCACATCGCCACTCTCTTCTTCGCCTCCAATTTCCTAGTCAATCGATAAATCCCATATACAAGGCACAAATCCGACACGATTACAGAAATCCTCTGGAAATAGACGACTGTGTCTGCTTCGTAGTTGAGGCCCTGGTGAACGTCCACGATCTGAGGGTCGACGAGGCGAGCGAAGAAGGAGAGGAAGTACTCAAAATAGGCGAAGAAAGGCGGGTAATCGAGCGTCCAGGGGCTGGTTTCGTCGGAGTACCATTGGGAAAGAGGAAGGGAGCGGGTCAAAGCCAACCAGTGACGGTGGACTTCGAAGTCAGTGCTGTGGTAGGAAGGGATCAGGAGTAGCTTCACGCACGCCGCTACGCCGAAGAACCATAAGAGATGTCGGCATATCTCCGGATGGTTCTGCAGCATAGATTGCCGACTTGCCATGGAGACGGAGAGTAAACAACGCCCGAAATGACCGACGGATCAGTCTACTTGTACTGACGTGCACTAAATCCCGGATCCAAAATCGGGAGTTCTTCACTGCCTTTTCGGATTACTGCCGCCGCCTAAAGGCCTTCATTCTTCTATCTCGCTCTCTCCCTCGATTCTCGGCGATGTGCAAGGCGGTTGTTTTCTTCGATTTCGATCGACATCTGCGGCGGAGACGTCGGGAAAGGAAGAGACACCCGGAGTTTGAAAGCCCAACTTCTGTTTGTAATCTGTAATGTAAAATTGATGGAGCAATTGGGCCCGGGAACTCGTCGAGTAGAGTTTTTTTTCGTAGTAAAGCCGGTTTCTTTTCACTTGGTTTATCAATTTTGTTCTCATTGGGGGGAAAAGTTTTCTCCTTTGTTGGTCAGTCTAGTTTTAGTTGTCTCATCGTTGGTGGTTGATTTTTCGTTAAATTTAAATTAAGTTACAATTAGCTATAATCATTCGCTATTAAGTGGATGATATGATAACTAAAATATTAAAAATAATTTTAATTTTTTCAACCCACCGACAACCGGGGTTTGAAACCAAACTTCTACTCAGGAGGATAGATGGGGCGATTCAAGTGGGATCCAACGTAGATCTAACTTTCTATTCACTCGTGGGATCCGGGCGGTCCGGGAGGGACCACCACGGCTCCTCTCTTCTCGAGAATCCATACATCTCTTATCAGTGTATGGTCTGCTATCTCTCGAGCACAGGTTTAGTTTTTGACATGTGGTTCGTCCCTCTAAACCACCTACTGTAGCCATTCGTGACATATCACACTCGAACATTATTTGGCTAGCAAATGTACATTGACTACAAAAAGCTCAATAATGCAACTTGCGAAGACAGATTAATCGTTTGCCTTTCATTGATAAGATGTTGGAGAGATTGGTGAGTCACAACAAGTACTGTTGCATCCTCGATAGAATGTTTGGGTAAAGAAGCAACGAACGGATCAAGGTGTATCGTTAACATAGGCTTATATAATTCATCTTTACTAATCATCATATATTTAAAACCTAAATTACCTAAACAACACATTATGAAACAAAAATATTCCAAACCCAAGCTTGTGTCGGTCGCGTGAACTCCATGCCTGTGCTATTATTATTGTATGCGCTATGCAGTTCATAGTTAACACGCTCCAGCAATCCATGTTTGGAACCCTTTATTCCTCTACAAGAGGTTAAGATGATATCATAGACTTCCATCTTCAGCTTGTCCTGCATCTTAATCCCATTCAGTAAGAAGCTATGATACTCATTACCATGTGATTAACCAGCTAGCGATGCATCTTCTTCTTCACCATCCAATTCCTGCTCCACGCCTTTCACCTGTGCATGCATAAGATATTCATGAGCAAACATGAGCAAGCAGCAGAAAGTGCCGAGGAAAAATTTATAGATGATTCAGTTATCAGAGAAGCTTCGTCATTGGGGGGGAAAAACCGTATTAAATCTCATGGAATCATGACCATGGATCACTTACCTCTGACACATAGTGCATCAGCATGTTTTCGATACCGGATTTCAGCGTCACAGACGAGCTTGGGCAGCCACTACATGCTCCTTGCATTCTTAATTTGACTATTCCAGTTTCTCTGAAAATAGAAAACACGATCAGAAGAATTCACAAGATTTTGTCTGCCACATTAAATAAAGAAGAAGAAAAAAGTACAGTGATGAATTTTCAAGGCGTCATTTTTATCGGAAAACTTACGGATCAAATCCACAGTATTCTATATCTCCACCGTCATCTTGCACTGCTGGTCGAATGCGGGTCTCCAGCAGCTCTTTTATCATTGCAACGGTTTCCGAGTCATCCTGAGGTTTGACAGGAATTGCAATTTTACTATACTTGCAACACAATGATATAACACAGAATGGGAAACAGGTTCGCTCAATGCCAATGTTCAACTGCATGACAAGCATGCAGTTGATAAAGTGGAAAAACAAAAGTAATCAATAAAGAAGCAGGCCAGGTGCAAGAGAGCGTGTCTGAAGGGGACATAATCGAAGTAAAGAAATGGAAGCCTCCAATCGAACTTCATTAGAGTAGGAATATAGCAAGACGAGATGCCACTTTTATGGAACCATCCAGATAGACGTTAATCACGAGCAACTACAATACTTGAATTATATCAACTGCATTATGCAGCCCTAATATCTAAATTGCTGATAGATCAGTGGCATTCGGTCAAGGAAACCAAAATCCAGGAAACACAAGGGGAAAACAACATTGGTCTGCGCAATTCAAAGAAAGTAGAACAGGAGACAAAACATGACTATAGCTAGTTCAAGATAAACAAAATATACACTTATAGAAGTGTACCTCATGAATAGCCGTGTCTTTGGCAGATGCAGCTTGGGCGTCCAAGAACAATGGCTGTCCAGAAGAGTAAAAGTCCATGATTGCTGCAAATACTTCAGGCTTTAAGAGATCCCAAGATATGTCATCTGATTTTGTTACTGTAACAAAATCAGATCCATAGAAGACACGAACAATACCTGCAATAAAGAAGCTGATGTCAATCCAATCTGCCACTTACTTCTTTAATATACAACCCCTGGCCACTCTCCTCCGGTATAATGTTCAATTTCTTTTGGACATAATGTACTCCCTCTATGTGGTCAGAATATCAAACAGTTTAGTTTTACAAAATAAAGATTGTTTCATTCCTTAAGGTGCTTCAAAGCATTTAAATTTCCCGGGACAGAAAAACGAATATCAATGTAGCAGCTCTTTAGTAGGTTTCTTTTGAATACCACCGCCAAGAAAAATGGCTATACCTAAGACATAATAGTTCTCAAGTCTCTTTAACTACACCATATCATCAACCAGCTAAGCTACTATCCTAGACATGGAACACCTGCCGGTAATCACCTTCAGGTTTTCCAATTGATCAAGCATTCACATCCCAATCCTTTGGGAAATAACAACAAAGCACAACGTTAATAATAAAAACTTACCATCAACACCAAACAGAGATTTAGCTAGCGGAGACGTCATGGCTGCACGGGCATTCGGAAAATCCGAACTTCCAACTTCCATCACTGGTTTCCCCGGATAGAACATGAGAGATGATGGATTCGGTGTGCTCTGAGTTTGTATAAACATTGTCCTTCGCTGCCCTATGGATTGCCACAATCAGATCATTAACAACAAGCTTCTTGTTTAGCTTCACTTGCAATTCAGCACAAGAAGCATCTCACAATCAGACCCTTAATTGGAAACAGCTCATAAGCATAACCCAGTAGCTCAAATCATCCAGAAATGAACCAACGCCAGTGAACCCTTCAATTTCCAATGCTCACAACAGGCAGAACACCCTAAGTAATCTCAAAAAGTATGAGGTATACTCCTTCCGGCATGGATCAAAGTTCCGTATTTACAAAAGCAACAGTCCCAAACTAATGCAGCAGAAGATCAAGCCACTTGAATTGTATTTTTCAAAAATGAAGAGTAAGGCGAGCAGTTTGAAAGCACGCACAGAATAAGAATCACTAGTCCAAATTACATAAGCAACCAAAAAGCAGTTTCTGACTAAAAGCATTTCACGAAGAGCAGCAGAAACCAAAAAGGAGGGGGGGGAAAGAAAACAGAAGACCAACCTGCAAGAGCACTCCATCTGTCCGCCAACAAGGAAGACCTCAAGACGGAGCAGCGATTATTGCTTGGAAACCCCAATAACGAGGAGGCCATCGAAGGAAATCTGGTGTAAGAGCGGCAACTGCCGATCCCTCCGGCTGGAGAGCATCTGTGCTGGCGCGTCAGAGCACGCAAGGCTAACCGCAAGCACGTACTCCTCATTGTATTGGAACTACTTTATGCAGAGAACGGTGGCGGTGGTTCTGTTTGCGAGAACGGGAAGGGATTCCGGTCTAGGGCGGAAGTGGCAGGGGCAGATTAGGAAGAACAGCGATGGGAAGGAACTGACTCCGACGGACAGCAGGCGGAGGAATACGCTCGTGGAAGAGGAGGACGGCAAGAGCCACCGGCGAGCGGATAGAGATGAGGCCAGATGGGTAGAGGGACGAGGAAAGTGTGGAGCGGTTTGTTGACAGGGAAGGGTCGAAGGAGGAATGGGTCCAATGGGATCAGGACATCAGGTCGGCGTTAGCTTCCCAAACGCAACCCTTTTTTTCACATTGCGGGAAAATTACAATATTGGTCACTTGGTTTATCAACATATTTCACTATTGGCATTCGAAAAGAAGTTATGACACGATTACAAATTACTAATTACGGGATTTTTGGTAAATTACAAGTTTGGTCACTCGAATTACTGAAATATTTCACGTTTACCATTAGAATTAATTTATTCCACTTGTGGTCACTTAAATTAGTTTTATAGTCAAAATATGGTCATTGGTCGTTACTCTTCGTCAGAGTCGGTTAACACCGTCAGTTAATTGCTGATGTGGCTAACAAAAAATGTCTAATCATCCAATTTTAACAAAAAAGAATATTAAATTCCGACCCGCCATCTCACCAAACCCACCATGCCATAAAAAAATATAGCTCGTTAACTATAATTGGGAAAACATTTTGTGCATATGGTCAAATATCCAATAATAATGACCATTGATGTCTAATGTTATGACACGATTACAAATTACTAATTACTGGATTTTTGGTAAATTACAAGTTTGGTCACTCGAATTACTAAAATATTTCATGTTTACCACTAGAATTAATTTATTCCATTCGTGATCACTTAAATTAGTTTTATAGTCAAAATATGGTCATTGGTCGTTACTCTTCGTCAGAATCGGTTAACACCATCAGTTAATTTCTGAAGTGGCTAACAAAAAATGTATAATCATTCAATTTTAACAAAAAACGATATTAAATTCCGACCCGCCATCTCAGCAAACCCATGCCATAAAAAATATAGCTCGTTAACTATAATTGGGAAAACATTTTGTGCATATGGTCAAATATCCAATTATAATGACCATTGATGTCTAATGAAACAAGAGTTAAAAATTAGTAGGGTAAATTGCAAGTTTGGTCACTACGATTACTAGAAGTTTCACATTTGCCACTAAAAATCAATTTATTCAATTCATGATCACTTAAATTAGTTTCGTAGTCCAAGTTTGGTCACTGTTCGTTAGTCTCTGTGAGATTTCGTTAACACCGTAAGTTAAATGCTGACGTGGCTAACAGAATTGTTGATTCATCCAATTATAGTTGACGAGCTATATTTTTTTCTATATAAATCGAAATTACAAAAAACTGCAAAGAAAAGTTATGTCAATCGTGTTCTTCAAAATGGTTCACTAACTAGATATAGTCCTACCCCATAAAGCGTCTACGAAAGAGCTCCCATTGTTATTAACAAAGTGGTATATAAATGAAAGAGGCACGATCTACAACCAAAGTAAAGCAACACCGAGTGACACGTTCAACCAATAAAAGCGGTACACTCCCAAATATAATTGTTTCAATGACAATGCAAAAATGAAGTCACGTTAAGTAGGCATATGATAAGGAAATGCAATATAACGAGGCATATGAAAAGAAGGAACCACAATGCAATGCAAGAAAAGAATAATCTAGAGGCACATGCACGTATCAAACACCCTCATAGTCGTCAAAGTCTGAGTTGGAGTCCACAGGGTCGTCTGACTCTAATGTGAATAATCGAGTTAGAATTCTAGAATGTCGTAGGGTCGTATTACATACAAGGTCTTCTAAAAAAGCTCACGCCAATACCATCTATGCTATACAAAATACACAAACATCTTTAGGGGTTTTCATACGCTAAACAAAGGAAAGGTAAAGTTGTTTAGGATTTTTCAAGTTATAGATGCATAAAAGTAAAGATACGTCATTATATAAGAAGGTGAATCTCGAGTATTATCATGCATACTAAAGCTCAATCATATCTTGCATAAATGACTCATCTATAATGTCACTTTATCCTTTCCACTAAGGCCACTCTCTACCCGTGCATGCGCCTCTTGCAATGAGATTTAACTAGCTTATGTATGCTTTCGCTTCATGTCATTACCTAATTAATGAAGAACAAGAAAGTTAGGATAGCACATGATTAAGTGCAGGCCTCTATGAGCCATAATTGATGTTATATTTCAATAATGATCTGACAATCAAACATTGATACTACTCAAGGTATAGATGGTTGATTATTCCCTCTAAACTCGTGTAAGCATACATATATATACTAGAAAATACTAAGCACAATGCGTATAGTAGCACACTATAAAGTCATAAGCACCAATGATAAGAAAGCATTCATATATACTAGATAAAAACAACAATGATCATCACATAGGCATCGAAATCAAACATCCATGCTTACATAACAAGCATCGAAATTCATAGCCATAAACACAAACATCAAATGAAATCTTAACATCAATATATACAAAGATAAACAAGTTCACATTCTCATACAATCGACTTTGAACTAGCAATAGAGAAAAGTAGGGTACCACCATCGATGATGAAAGCATCTCCTCCACTCTCTCTTGCAAAAGCAAAGATCTCACTCGAATAGAGTGTTTACACAAATTTAGTGAATTTGTGCAACCTATTGAACTAATGAGTCTAGCCCTCTATTTATAGGGATATAACTCGGTCAAAACTCTCGTAAACTTAATAGGACAAGGTTTCCTTGACTTGGCCCCGAAGTCCTAGTCTAAAGAATAAAGATATGTTTTTTGGGCTTGGGCCTCTTGGGGCCGGCTAGGCATTAGAAAAAAATACACAAAGAAGAATACACCAAAGTTTCACCATAGCATTGTAACTCTCATAAAAAGATGAGTTGCCAAAGACCTTCACTACAAAGAACCAGACTTTCCAATATAAGAGTGGTGATCCAAAAAGCAAACAACAAACCCCAAAATATCAGCAAAATATAAATGGATCTTCATTTTCACCATTCTTCGAATGTATCAAAAGTTCTATGCACAAAATTGTAAGAGATATTAGCATCGTTGCGCATAATGGTCCTCCAGTCTCTCTATTTCTTTTTTTTTTTATCCCATTTACTTTTTAATTGTGTGAGTGAATGACTTATGGTAAAACTCAGAGAACTTGTCTACCACAATCGATCTCTCGACTTCTTTTGTTGTGAATGTAGTTGGTTGATATCGTGCTTTGATTACTTCGACACAAAGTTCATAGAAAGCTTTAGTGGTCACAACAATCCATTGAGCCTTTGGGCTATGCTTATTTTTTTTTCCTCTCAGAGTAGATAAACACCACTCTATGCCTCTAAATGACTTTGATTACTTCAACTAAATTTGTAGACAAATGTTATGAATGCATAGAGGCTAGCTTTTTATCCTTTAAAAGTTTTATTTTAACTGGTCAAAGTTATAGTATACTGCAGATAAAAAACAATTAAGGGAATAAGTTTTTAGATAATTAATTTATCCATATTCACTTAGGAAATGTTTTGATGTCGAATCTGGTTACATTTAATCTCACATCCATTTATTTCAATCACTCAAATCTGACTATAGAACAAACACAACCCCATTATGAATACCAAAAAACTGAATAAACTACAAACCCATAAAAGAAACAAAAAAGCACAATTCCTTAATAGTTCGTACAAAAAGAAACCACTCCAGAGAATTGACCAAGCTCGAGAAAAAATTGAATAATGGTAAAAGCCTAACAATACTGACTCTTTACTAAAAACCATAAATATAAAATACAATCGAAATGAACCTAGTACTCTACATACTAGTAACTTTGAGATATGCATGTTGGAAGAAGACTAATGTTCCAATCAAATACATACACTATTGACAGAATTTGACAAGTGCGTAATGGAAGAAAGGAGGAACATTACATGAGTATCAAATTTCCAAGTCATGTGAATCTTGCAATCCCTCCTTTGAATAATTCTCTTTGCAACAATAGTGTTGTGGAAGGAAGACAAATTTGGCCGATATAATTTTTGACCTTGAGAACAAAATAGACATGGTTGTAGTTGAAGGAAGTGGATAGCCAAGAAAAGGAACCAAGAAGGTGGAAGGGAGTTTCGATTAGGGAGTTTGAGATGAGAGAGTGAAAAGGTTGGAATTGAAAAAGATGGGCAACTGAGAAACAAATAAAAGAAAGTGGAAGGAGTTTTAATCAATGTTAGGAAAGAGTAAATTGATAGTTGTGGGAATAATTGGAACGACTTTTACAACGAAAAATATTCATTTCTTTATTTTTTTACGTAATAGGAAAATAGACTCATATTGACCTTAGAAGTTAGAGCCACAATAGCCCATAAGCTGATACCTACTTGAGGTGACAGACCCCACGACAAGGATTAAAATCCAGTGTGGGGTTTGGAGGATTTGGAAGTCGTGTAATGTGATTTTCTTTGAGGGTTTCCGATACTTGTTGAGAGTCTTAAGTCAAATGCAATTACCGTTTTAGGAGCAGTAGACCTTGGGGGTGATATAAGAGTGAGGAAAATCGGGTTCCTGCAGGTGCTTTGAGGTCACATGTCAATTAGGGGGCATTTGAATTTGTGATACAATTCGATGGTGCATCCCAGAAATCATTCCATGCAATGCAGTTAAAAGCGCGATTCTACCTAGAAACGGTTGGGTGACTTACAAGCGTAAAACCGTAAGCTTTTAAGTTTTCAAACGTAGATTTTGACTACATTTGTAAGGAGAAATCACGATTATACGTAGAAGCGTTTTGGCGAGCCAAAAAGGTAAAATCGTAAGTTTTTAAGTTTTAAATCGCGATTTTGACTGCATTGATTCCATGGAACTGGGGGTGTAGTTTTGTTTGATAACACTGGGGAATTGCTTGCAGTCGGATGAATGTGCTATCTAGGTATATACAATCCTTCGGTGGTAGAACTTTTGGCTTTGAGGGATGCTCTCATCTGGCATAAAGGTTGGGGGCTGAGAACCATTTTGATTGAGGGGGGGGGGGAGACACCTAATAAGCAAATTTCTCGACAAGTTAACGTAGAGTGAAGTCAGTGGTGCTGTCTTATTAGAGGTTCACTCTCTCTTGTATGAGCAACTTAATTGTTAGATTCATTTTATACTTCAGAGTGAGAACGTAGCTGCTCATAGAGTTGTGAGAAAGCTCTCAGCTTGTTTACGATGGGTTGTTATTGTTTTGATCTTGACGCTTGGTTGCGCTCATTTAAACTCCATGTGTAGTTGCTTTTTCATATTTATGAAATCTCATGGACAACGAGTATCTTCTAACCAAAAAAAAAAAAATCAACTTGAGATACGCTAACGTTTCAGAACCTACCAACCGAAGACATCACTTTGAAGCTCCAACTATTTGGGTCAAGTGTAGAAATCTCCATACTCCAATTGCAATTTTATAGTAACTACTCCATCAAACAATCTCTAAACAAAAAGCCTCTATTAAAAAAACTCAAATGTCCAACCCAACAAACCAAATTGAGTGGACCAAAATTTGCTTCCAAAAATTAACAAAACAAGAAAATATAAGAGAGAGAGAGAGAGAGTGGGGGATGAAAAAGGAAAATGAAGAAAGATGAGGAGAATGTAGAAATAGAAGAAATAAGCGAAGAGCACTCCACTCCGATCCGGAGACCCGACCTATTCGAATCCTAAAAAACCTACTGCCCCTTTTGACCGCTCTCTCTCTCCTCCAAATTAAACTTCTCACTCTTTTACCAAAACTAACCTCTCTTCCTTTTTCCTTCTTTTCTCTCCTAATTGTTCGTTTTTTTGGCTTCCCCTTCTTCCTTCCTCCCTTTCTTCCTTCCTATTCGACTATCTCTTCCCCCCTCCCCATCCCATGACCGTCCATTAAAACCCTAATTTCTCTCTCCCCCTTCTTCCCACCCACAACAATCTTCACTCTCCACTCTCGAAAGGTAGGTTACTTACCGTACTGAATCGTCTTCTCAGTTCAATTATTTTCCTCTTTATTTTTTTATTTTTTTGGTTTGGTTTCTGTTTCCCTCTACCTGGCTTTTGTTTTCAGTCTTTTCGATTCATCCTGTTTACAGTTTTCCGCATGTTGTTTCTGGGTATGGTTTTTTGATTCCTCTAGCTCGATCTGCTTTCCCTTATAGGTACCAAAACCGAGCGAGGGGGATTCCTAAGCGTACGGATATATGTCCTTCAATCAATCCAGGTCGGATAGGAGTGATACCCAGTTTCGGAAATCAGGGCGATCCGCCAGCTTCAATCAGCAGCGGAACACCTCAGGCGGCCCTCCTCACGGTAGAGGCGGCGGCGCCGGCCCCGCCCCTTCACCGTCCTCCTCATCTAATCTCTCTTCCAACCGCAGGTATTCCGGTTCACTCACTTGCCTCTTCTCTTCTCGTTATGAATTTGGATTGTTTTGTGTTCTCTGTATTGCTTCCTTCCTTTTTTTTTTGTTTGTTCATTCATTCGGTTCTCAATTTCTGATCCTTAAATTGATGGGTTCATTTGTTCGTTGAAGTCCTTCACTGAGCGATTTCTGCTTTTATCCGTTAGGGTTTGTATGAATTTTGCTTTGTTTACCTCATCATTTTTTCTCCCCCATTTCTTTTGTCGATTCTGGCATCAGTTTTAAAAAACCTACCAATGCTCATGGTGGACAATCGAGGGTGAACGCACCAGCAGCTAATTCTCCCGATTACGCCAGTGCTGTTTCGGCCCATAATGTGCAGAATGGCGCTCGTGTTCAACCCCCATTACAAGGTATGTTTGATCGCTCAAAGCCAATTACTTTCAGGAATAACGAGTGGGGATAAAGCTGGCTGCTTTTTTGTGTGTTGGTTAATATATAATTGTTATTGTTATCATGAACGAACGTTTTGTTTCATTTCTGCACCTCTAGCCACTGCCAGTTGTTTTATGGTTTTGTTGATGTATCATGGTCAGGTCATTCTGCCGGGACAGCTGCAAATGAGGTTGCTAGGCCAACTGAGGCTCCAGTTTCACAGAGGAGCACCCGGCCAGTTCCAAAGGCTCCAACTTCTCAATCTTCCGCCTTGACCCCCGATAGCGGTACACCGGCTACACCTGTCAAGGGTAAGTATCTGTTCTTTATGCTATGAGTTGGTATGCTCTGTTAATCGTACTTCAGCTCTCTGTTTGTCGTTGGCACTCCTCATCCCTAACATGGTCTCGTATGCTTCCAGGTGATGTGCCCAAGTCATTCCCATTTCAGTTTGGGTCCATAAGTCCTGGTTTTATGAACGGGATGCAGGTATTTCACTACACTTGTGCTGTGCTGGCTTTTATAATTTTTTGCGCACCAGTCTGAAAAGAAGCATTGTGATGTAGATTCCTGCTCGAACTAACTCAGCTCCCCCAAACTTGGATGAGCAGAAGCACGACCAGGTCCATTCTTCTTTTGTTTTCCCCCCTCACTCTAGTAATAGATTTTAGCGAGTGCCAATTTATTTTGCTTATTGATAACAGAGGCTTCCTGCTAGATGAAATTTACATCTTTCTATAACTGTAGTGTACTGTAGATTTCCCCCACTTTATTTGGGAATCTGCCTCTCTAGAATCCCTCACGAACATACAAAATCGATTTTAATCTATGAACTTGCAGGCACGCCATGATGCATATAGATCTGCTCCTTCATTACCAAATCCAATACCAAAGCAGCCACTACCAAAGGATACTGTCTCTGCTGACCAATCAAATATAGTGGAATCTCATTTGACTCCCAAGACCAAGAAGGACACACAGATCTTGCCTTCACCACCTGTAAGCCAAACACAAAAGTCTTCGGTTCTTCAGATTCCTATGACCTCCGTCCAGATGCCGTTTCCCCAGCCACAAGTACCTGTGCAGTTTGGCGGGCCAAGCCCTCAAATGCAGTCACAGGGTGTCACAGGAGCTTCTCTTCAAGTGCCTATCCCCATACCGTTAGCCATGGGAAATTCCCCCCAGGTCCAGCAGCCAATGTTTGTTCAAGGTCTTCAACACCACCCAATGCAAGCTCAAGGCCTCATGCACCAAGGCCAGAGCATGAGTTTTACAACTCAAATGGGTCATCCACTGCCTCCTCAGTTAGGGAACTTAGGTATTGGTATGTCCCCACAGTATCAACAACAGCAGGGAGGGAAGTTTGGCGGTCCGAGGAAAACAACTGTGAAAATTACTGATCCAAAGACTCACGAGGAGCTGAGGCTGGATAAGCGAACAGATGTATATGGAGATGGTGGAACATCAGGCATGAGGGCTCATCCTAACATGCCTCCTCAATCCCAGCCTATACCATCTTATCCACCTTCTCATACAATTAACTATTTCCCTACCTCTTTTAATGCCAGTAATCTATATTATCCCCCTCCAGGTTCTTTGCCGTTGACCAGTGGCCAAGTTCCTCCTGGGACTCAGCCACCTAGATTCAGCTATCCTGTTAACCAGGCCCCACAAAATGTCTCATTTGTCAACCCATCTGTTACGGCTTCTCAACCTTCAGCTAATAGCTTTTCTGCTACTGATAAAAGTGGGTTGCAAAAGTCATCCAAGCCCTCTGAAGTTGTCTCACTTCACTCTCGAGTGGAGACTCAGTCTGGGAGCTCCTTACAACAAGTGACTCTCGGGACTGAGACTTCTGGATCTAAAGCATTGACGGTATCAGCTAAAGATCCTGCTTCATCCACTGGTAATGTTGTGTTTCCCAATCCTCTCTCTGCTGCCTCGTCTGATCATTCTGAGGGATTAGCACCAGGCACTACAAATGCTGAAGTGAAGACGAAGGAGAACCTTAGCAGATCCAATTCCATAAAGGACAATCAGAAAAAGCCAGTGAAAAAAGAATATGTTCCGCCCCAGCATGAGGTTTGTCTCAATCCATTTAATTCTTGAGATGGCATTTTCATTAAGTATTGATAGTATTTTGTTTTAAACAATTATATACTTTCTTGAATTCTACTTGCATCGTTTTGTACAGGTTGGTGTGAAAACTACTGCAGCTTCGAGTTTGTCCGCTTCAGTAGCCACTGATGGTTTAACTGATCCAAACAAGGAATCAACACTGATGATGAATGCTTCAAAGTCGGATCTTACAGAAGCCACGTTTGGAAATGTTGGAGTTGGTACTAGTGGGATTCCTCTTGAAACTTCTGATACTGGAGGTGCAACTAACATCCCCAGTGTTCTTAATACAACTGAGACTCTAGGGGCGATAGAAAAAGGAGAAAGTGAATTACCCAATGTTGCTAAATTGGATGAAAGCAGTTCCGTTACGTCATCAGCAGCAACTTCAACGTTTGCAGACATTGTGAATAATGCCCTGGAGAAAACTGATTTGCCATCAATGAATTCTGGCAATGAGGCTCCTACTGTAGAAATTGCACATGAAGTACAGAATGAACCTGTGACTTGCCATACAGAAATTACCAAGACAGCAGATGAAAAAGATATTACCTCATCCAGTAGTTTCAGTTCATCAGTTGTTATGAAGTTGGATGGTGACGAAACTTTGGGCAATGTAAACGATACCAATATAGCCACTGACAGTGGCGATTCTGGTGTTAGATCAAGTACAGTGAATCAGCTTGTTGACTGTGAGTCAGGGTTGAAGCAGGGAGAGGACTATGGACAATCTGGTTATGTGGAAAAAACCTATGAATTGAGTAGATCAAAGAGTAATGCTGGTAAAGGGAAGAAGAAGAGGAAAGAAATTCTTCAGAAAGCAGATGCAGCTGGTACAACTTCTGACCTCTATATGGCTTATAAAGGTCCTGAAGAAAAGCAAGAGAGTGTCAGTTCTACAGAGACTACAACTGGTATGCCCACTAGTACTAGCATAAAGGATGCAACTGCTGATGATTCTCTTCCTGTGGGTTCGACACCAAGTGATAGAGGAGCATCAAGTAAACCCGAACCTGAAGACTGGGAAGATGCTGCTGACATCTCCACACCGAAGTTGGAAAGCGTTGACAGTGGAAAGCGACCTGGGGCCAGTTTGTTGCAGCAGGATGAAAATGGAAACGTAGACAAGAAATATTCCAGAGACTTTCTCCTGAAATTTTCTGAACAATGTACTGATCTTCCTGAGGGTTTTGAAATTACAGCAGATATAGCAGATGCCTTGATGGGTCCAAATGTCTCTCATCTCGTCGATCGTGAATCATATACTAGCTCTGGAAGAGTTGTGGATAGGTCAAACAGTGGATCGAGAATGGACCGGCGAGGTGGAAACATGGGTGATGACGACAGGTGGAACAAACAACCTGGTCATTATGGCTCAGGGAGAGATCTGCGTGTAGATATAGGTTATGCAGCAAATATGGGCGTCCGACCTGGTCAAGCTGGAAATTTTGGTGTCTTGAGGAATCCACGAGCTCAGAGCCCAATGCAGTATGCTGGAGGAATATTATCTGGGCCAATGCAATCAGTGGGTGCTCAAGGAATGTCCAGGAACAGCCCTGATGGTGACAGGTGGCAGCGTGCTACTAATTTCCAGAAGGGATTAATTCCTTCTCCGCAGACTCCATTACAGGTGATGCACAGAGCTGAGCGAAAGTATGAAGTTGGTAAAGTAACTGATGAAGAACAGGCCAAGCAGAGGCAACTGAAGGCCATTTTGAACAAGCTCACACCTCAAAATTTCGAGAAGCTTTTTGAGCAAGTGAAGGCTGTTAACATTGACAATGCAGTCACTCTAACAGGCGTTATCTCTCAGATTTTTGACAAAGCTTTGATGGAGCCTACCTTCTGCGAAATGTATGCCAACTTTTGCTATCATATGGCTGGGGATTTGCCTGATTTCACTGAAGATAATGAAAAAATAACATTCAAGAGACTACTTCTGAACAAGTGTCAGGAGGAATTTGAGAGGGGAGAAAAAGAGGAAGAAGAAGCTAATAAAGCTGATGAGGAGGGAGAGACCAAACTGTCAGCAGAGGCAAGGGAAGAAAAAAGGGTGAATGCTCGAAGAAGAATGCTTGGTAATATACGGTTGATAGGAGAGCTATACAAGAAGAAGATGTTGACAGAGAGAATAATGCATGAGTGCATCAAAAAGTTGTTGGGCCAGTATCAGAATCCTGATGAGGAGGATGTGGAAGCATTATGTAAGTTGATGAGCACCATTGGTGAGATGATAGATCATCCGAAAGCGAAGGAGCATATGGATGCTTATTTTGACAGGATGTCAAAGTTATCAAATAACATGAAACTATCGTCGAGGGTTAGATTCATGTTGAAGGATTCTATAGATCTTAGGAGGAACAAATGGCAACAGAGAAGGAAGGTCGAAGGGCCAAAAAAGATTGATGAAGTGCACAGGGATGCTGCTCAGGAAAGACAGCATCAAGGCGGCAGGGGTTCTCGCAATCCTAGTACGCCTGCAAGAAGGGGAACAATGGATTTTGGCCCCAGAGGGTCATCTATGCACCCTTCTCCAAATTCTCAAATGGGTGGTTTTCATGGTTTCCCCAGTTCACGTGGATTCCCAAGTCAGGATGTTCGGCATACTAATGATGATAGACAGTCGGCCTTATCAGTTCCCTTGCCTCAAAGACCACTTGGCGACGACTCTATAACTTTGGGTCCACAAGGTGGCCTTGCTAGAGGAATGTCGATTAGAGGGTCACCTGCTGCAATTGCAGCAAGTCCTTTGACTGATATTTCTGCATCACCCGGTGACTCTAGAAGAGTGGGATCTGGTTTGAATGGTTTTAGCGGTGTGTCAGAGCGTCCTATTTATGCCCCAAGGGAAGATCTAATGCCGAGATATGTTCCTGATAGATCTAACGTGCCCCAAGATCGTAATGTAAATCATGTTAGCAGGGATGCTCGAAATATGGATCGTGATTCTGATAGATCTCATGCTGCATCACTACCTTCTCCATCACAGGCTCCTATTGATAGCCATAATGCACCTTCAGAAAATGCATGGCCTGAGGAACGCCTAAGAGATATGTCAATGGCAGCTATCAAAGAATTCTACAGGTATAGTTTCTCACCTTCAAAACTGTGTACGTTGCATTCTTTTTATGCAGCATTAACTCGGCATTGGCATGCTTTCTGCTAAGTAGCTAGATCTGCTAGCTTCTTGCTGTGAATTTTATTTAACTTGAAAAGTTATCTGGGTTATCTGAACCATCTTGATCCTTACTATTCTATTTGTTAATTGCCATATTGAAGGTTTTTCGCCCAACTGGTATATTACATTATTATTACTACCTCATGTTCTTTTTATGTCCCACTCCCAGTGCCATAAACATTAGTAGCTTAGCTCCAGTTTCCATGACAATGTTTTGACAAGCCTGTTCTTGGTTAGTTAAGGGATGTCCTTTGCCAATTATGGCAATATTGTCATGTCAGGCCAGCCCTTTGTGTTGGTTGAAAGTCATTCTCGAGCAAGACCATATAGGCTAGGTGCCTTTTTCATTAGCAGAGCAGATTATTTTTCTGCCTCGATCGCTTGTATAAAACTTTGAAATGCTTTTTTCCCTTGTGTCTCTCTTTTAAGTTGCTCTTTTGCCAGCCTCATTCTTCAGTCAGGATAGGATACACATATAATATTTTGAATACGTATATGGGAGAGTTCGGCATAGCACTTGGTTTTTGTGGTGTGCTGTTATTTTGTTCTTGAACATGCTTCATATGTTACTTGGGTTGTATATGTAGCTAATTGATATATTTCCATTACTGTGAAAGAATTGTAGAATCCACCAAACCTAAATCAAAGCTCGAGACCAACCTCACCTATAATGCTAAAAAAAGAGAGCATAGAATCAAATGGAACAGTTGAGTGAATTCTGACCAATAATTGGTCCCAAGCAATCCGCAGATATACTAGGTTTAAGGTGCCATCAGTGGGATATAATTTCTGGAATCTCTTGGGGATGCAGTGGACTTTACTTTTTAGTCTCAGGGCATGGTTGTTCGTTAAATGAGATCTGCTGTGGCTTTAGGAACTTTTAAGTATTATGGTTTCTGCTATCTATATTACATTCTATTCTTTAAAGCTGAACAACTCAAGCTGAAGTAGCAGTTTTGCTCGGTCTGCTATCTTATCTGACAAGGTAATTGATTGTTTGTGCTTTTGTGATTTCTAGTGCCCGAGATGAGAGAGAAGTAGTCCTATGCATTAAAGACCTGAATTCTCCAGGGTTCCATCCTTCAATGATCTCACTCTGGGTCACAGATTCATTTGAGAGGAAAGACATGGAGAGAGACCTCTTAGCTAAGCTTATTGTAAGTCTTGCAAGGTCTCACGACGGAGCACTGACTTCAGGCCAGCTTGTTCAAGGGTAAAATGCTTGTGACCCAGACTTACTAATGGTCGTGAATTTTGGGTCTGGAACACAAGGCTGGTTTTTTTTACTTTCACTGATATATTTGCAGGTTCGAGTTGGTGCTAAGTACGTTGGAGGACGCTGTGAATGATGCCCCTAAAGCTGCAGAATTCCTGGGACGCGTCTTTGGACGAGTTGTGGTGGAAAACGTGGTGCCCCTGAGGGAGTTGGGGCGGATATTAAAGGAAGGCGGTGAGGAAGCCGGACAGTTACTGGAGGTTGGGCTAGCTGGAGATGTTCTTGGAAGCACTTTGGAGATAATAAAAGCAGAGAAAGGGGAGAGCGGGTTGAATGAGGTCAAATCCGGATCCAGTTTACGGTTGGAGGATTTCTTGCCTCCACAGCCCAGCAGATCAAGGATACTAGAAAGATTTATTTAGGCATACATAAATATAGGGGAGAGAGAGAGCCATGGAGGTCGGGTTGTATGTGTTGTTAGAGAAGGGGAATTCCAGTTTCTTTTTCTGCTAGTGCTGCTGCTCTTAGGTTTACTTATCATTTGAGTACGTAGTAGGAGAAGTTATTAGTTTTTGCATGTGGGTTCGGTTGGGGTCGGTCAGGATGGTTTGGTTGGGGCCTTGGCTGGGCTGGCTGGCGTTTTTTTCTGGTCTTCTAAATGTAATGAGGCGCTGGAGGGTTTTCCCTTCTCCATCAGTTCAGTGGGGTGAAGTTTATTCTTGAAAAATGTTATTGCTCTCTCCAAACTTGTCATAAACAAGGGCTGGTTTAAGCCGGTTTTGATTTCCATCTCAGAAACCAATTGCCGGCCCTTTAGTGGCTGATGGGAGTTATGTGCATCTGTTTTATGTTGTAAAAATGTGCAGGAGCTGTGGAGCCAAGGCCGTGCAAGTTGCTGGAAATGGTGATCTGCCTCTTTTCTGGGTTCTGGGTTTTTGCTCTTGGGAATCTGGATAAATGAATGTATGGTGCAGAGTTGTAGAGTTAGCCTTTGTGTGATGCACTGAAAATTAACTTGGCAACAGAGCAGTTATTGAAATCGTGAAGCATGAGAAGAAAATGGATGGTGAAGTGTTTACAAAGAGTAAATTGGAATATGTGAAAACCAATCAATATCTTGGAGATGAAGTTAGTAGATAGTACATATTACCCTCCATCAAGATGCTTTAGTTAACGACACACATACCCTTCATAGCATTAAGCTGAGTTCACAAATCACAACAAAATGGTGGAACTCTGATAATGTTTGAGGCTTCACCTTGCGTTTCATTGTTTGGGACATCGAGTCTAGTTAACCGTGTTGTCTCACTGTCGATTGTTGTTTGCTTTCTTTCGTCCTTTATCAAAGGGGGCACGTAGTGTGTGTTCTGCGAAAATGGCAAGATGAAGCAAGAAACCGGCTCGATGGACTATACGGTATGCGAGGGTGAAGGTATCTCATCCTAAATGATACCTCATCAAGAAACTATTGTCTGAGCATAATAGCTTCTCTTAGTTAGCCTAGATCACATCTTAATGTGCCTTTTATACTTTGTGAATTTCCTGCTTCCACTTTGTTTTCCACCAAGACAACTTTAGTGTTTGATTTCAATGAATGCACCTTTGATTTCTAGAATAATGATTAATAACACGGGTCACACCACTCTAAACAAAGGTCAAACGAGGATGTTTGGTGTTTTTGATGGTTGAGAAAACTAAGTGAAGTTACTCCTACTCCTATGGAGATTCAGCGAGAACTCCATAAACTAAAAGCTACGACCGTGGCTACATTGCAGAGAAATGATAAAGTTTGACATATGGTGTCAAATGTTTGGTTGTGGAACCCTTTTCAGTATTCGTTTCTTCTATTTTTATAGCCATCAGTTGTAACTGCCTTGTAACAGTTAGCTAGCCTCCTACTCCAATCTCCCTAGGGCCCTTATCACCGCTTTGGTGATAGTTGGTGTCAGTTTGATGGTCTCTCATCTCGTCCTGGCCGGATGGGGTTGAGGTCTCATCGCTTTATCTCCGTCACTTTTGCCCTTCCATCGATCCTCCTTGACAACCCTGATAGCCCTGATGATATCATACTTTGCTCTTTTGATGTCGACTCAGTACCATCTTCATCTCGTTACCTAGCACGCCTCTTCAGCTTGTTTTCCGCATCTTGTTAGGTAGGCCTGGTTACTCATCTTTATGGGATGCAAATTTAGCCCCTTTACACATCAAGACTCCACACTTAGTCTTGGAGGGCTTGGTTTCATCCTGTCGGCTTATCACTTAGCTGACTTGTCACCAAGTCCTCCTCGTCAACTTGTACTTGTTGCTACTTGCTACCAAGCATGTCTCATCAACTTGATACCTTTCGGCTTGTAACCAAAGCCCTGTAATCAACTTAACATCTTGTCGTCTCTCCGACTTGATACCCCATGCTACTTAGTCAGGTTGGTCCCTGTCGGCTTGCTCTCATACTTAATCTTTGCTACTTTTTTAGTCTCCATATGGCCCACTTATGGCTCTACACCAAGTCCTCATCAAGTTGACACCATATCAGCTCGGCATCCTGGCCGACCAGCCTCCACTCCCGAGATTTCATACTTAGTCTTGAGAATCTAGGAAGTGTTCATGATGGCTTGGTACCCTCATCAGGTTGACACCTTCTAGTTTGATCTCCATACTTAGTTTTTGGGAGTTTTGATAACTTGATACCAAGTTTGTACGTCTTGCCGACTTGGTACCCCTCTTGCTTGGATACCAGGCCCGTTTTGCCAACTTGGCATCCAGATTTAGTCTCTGTACGACTCTCTAGTTGGTACCTGACTCGGTACCCAGACGGGTGGCCATCTTGTCACATCCTCATCGGGTTGGTACCCTGCCAGTTTGATTTCTATACTTAGTTTTTTGGGGGTTTGGTAACTTGATACCAAATCTATACGTCTTGCCGACTTGGGACCCTCTTTCTTGGCTACTAGACCCGTTTGCCAACTTGGTATCCAGACTTAGTCTTTGTACGACTCCCTATTTGGTACTCGGTTTGGTACCCTGTTGCTTGGCCACCAAGCTAGTGTTGTCGGTTTGATATCCATACTTAGCCATATTTCATATCTCTTTACCAAGCCTGTCTTGTCGCCTGTCGGCTTGGTACCTTGTTGACTAGGCTACCAAGCCTATTTTATTTTCAAACTTAGTTAAATTTCATATATTGGTACCAAGCCTGTCATATCGGTCTGGTACCCACTTGGCTGGCTACCAATTCTGTCTTGTTCCAGAATTAAGTTTTTTTGGAGCCATATAATTCATACCAACTGGGTTGGTATAAGGGAGAGGCGATATCGATTATAGAGGCCATGGGGGCGATCGACCACCTAGGCCAAGAAGAAGGAGATTGACCACATAAACCCAAAAATTTAAGCCAATAAGGCCCAGCTAGCTTATTTACTACTCAATGTTGAGCTGACATTATAAATCCATTAAATCTCTAATAATTAATCGATGTGGTATGCGATTAACTTGTAGATGTATATAAACTTTAATCCAAAGGTACAAATTTTCACTGCGTAATTTGACGATCTAATGTCTGCAGTAATAGAAACACATGCTCTTACATGAACTCCTTGTTACCAATGCACCTCTGCAGATCTCGGCTCCCTCTTGAACTTGGTGGTTGATCTCTTTAAAGCATACTTTCGTTCACCGTATTCATATCGTAATCGGTTCTGGGGGTGATTTATTAAGGGTTGATTTTGTGCAAGAAGTATAGAGGTTCTGGGTATTCCAGACGACTTTGATACTGTTTTCTTTCAGGCATTTAGTTACACATACCTTGTATCTGCCTCTTCTAGTTCTTCGTTCGTTTCTTTGTTCTTCCATCAATCTTATATGGTGTACTAATGTGTAAATGTCTTCCTATTTTTCGCCTTCGTGGAGCAAGAACTACTTGAGTAATGTTGCGTACAGAAATGTAAATATTGTTGACCGAAAACAACGCTACAATCTATAATTCATTGCTTATTCATTCAAGTTTTGATCTCTTTGTTAGACAAACAAGTAAATTACATTTTAAACTCAGGATGAGAAATAGTTAATAGTAATGATAATTTCAGGATGACATTTAACATTCCAGTATTTATACAGACCATGTGTGTGTTGTGTTGGGTATCATGGCCTCATTGTTATCTCTCATTTTCTCTGAGATTTCAATATACAACTTTTTGACAAAGTCGTCATGTTGGGTGAATTGTTGGTAATGGGTGCAAGCTTAATTCAGTAACACTTTCTATTTTACTAGAAAGAAGTAAGGTGTTCTGAATGGTATTATAAATTCAAGTTCATAAAAATTTTATTACAGGATAATCAATAACAAATGTCTGGATCAAACACGACATATTTATTTTTTTCGAGGCCCAATGTGATTCATCTAAAGTGGCAGTGATTGGCGTGCCATTAATTGAAGGGTGTGATCCGTGCGAAGTGGTGATATGCAAAATCTTATGAATGAATCATCCAAAATTTAGAACTGATATGTCAGTATGACTAAATCGATCCAAACCACCATTAGTATCGATAAAGTACATATGTGTCATAGTCCATTGGTTGTTTCGAGATTTAGTGAAAGCGCGAGACAAGATACAAATCCTAACCTATACACTGGATTTTAACTTTTAAATCTTCCAATGTAAGGAAATGACTGTTTCTTTTTTCTCATCATGTTATATATACTTTTCCATATTCACTTGATCGTTGAAGTGTAGATCACCACAACCACCCCCGAGTGTTTACCGAAATTACTGGTTTGTTATATAAAAAGTATTGAGTGACCATTTTGTAATTGGGTGAAGTCAAGTGATATCTTAACAAATTATTCGATATTTTCTTTGTTTTATAACCCAGATCTAGGGCTGGGCATGCGGGCGGATCATCCGCGGATTTGGGCCGACCCACCCGCATTTGACCCAAATTTCGTTAAGTGGGTGGGTCTATGGGTGGGTGACGGGTTGCGCTGGGAGCCATCCGCCGGGTGGTGGGTGGGTTGTGGGTGGGTGCGCGGGTGACCCGCTCAACCCAACAGCAAAAAGATCAAAGTCGTCGGCGCTAGAGAGGGGAGAGTGGAGACGTTAGACATAAACTAGGACTTCTCCTGGAGTTTAAACCTCAAAGCCAACCTTCCAAATAGCGATCCCCTCTTCTTCCCTTTATTTTTTCCTCTAATTCTTGTGCCTAAATCACTGCTCTTTCCTTTGTGGAATTATTTTTCTTAGTTTCTTGCACCTGATAATCATCTCAATTTGTAGAAAACTCTTTCATCATAGAATTTCTATCCATTTTAAGAACTAATTCGACATTTTTCGCGCTATTTCATCTTCTTGTTTCCCCATATAACTCTCTTCGCCTATTATCATGTCAAGTTGACTCCTTTATATTATATACATTGGGATGTGGGTGAACCCACAAACCCACCCAAATCATCCACCATCCGCCCGACTCAACCCGAGACTAAATATGGGTGGGTGGTGGGTTAAAAATTATCAATCCGTTTAAACACGGGTGGATGCATTTTATGGTCAAAATCCACCCGACCCACCCAATGCCCACCCCTACCCAGATCCTCAAACGGTTCACTAATTCAAAATCTAGCACATCACGGCCCTCCATCTCAGACCCTATCTTCACTTCTCCACCGTCGGATCATCACTTCCTTTCATTTCACTTCACATATCTCCCTCTCGTATTTCCCCCCATCTTCTGAAACACTCGGCCATTTCAAACGCTTCCCCTTTCTTCCTCCGCGGGCAACTTGCTAATCTTTCCCTTTCCCTCAGCTCGAGACGGAACCCGGAAAGATCGCCGGCGAGAATTAGCCAAATCCAGTCCGGGGCGAAAATGCCTTTCAACTACGAGGCCGCCGCTAGTGCCATCAAGAGCAAGTTCGGGTTCAACGACCGCTCCACCTCGGAGTCCGTGCCGAATACTCCCCTTCTGCTGAACTCGGCTGCTCAGCAGGACGAGTTTACATCCGGCAAGCCTCTGTTTGCCGCTTCCGCAGCTCGGAGGATCGTAGAGTGGGACGATGATGATGACGCTGGTGAAAAGATCGGGTTGCCGAGTCAGAGCTCCGAGCTCGGTGACGATTCATCGTTCTGGAAGGACAACAACGTTCAGGTGAGACTCGAGAAACTTTTCGTCGATTCTGACACTTCAGTAGGCTTAGGAGTGTATTCGGGTTGCGAATCCTGAAACGAGAATTCATATTGAGCTAGGTCATGACTGAATTTGTTGGCTAGTGAAATCGATTCGTCATCATTGGATATGCCTATGGAGCAATGGGAATTGTGTTATGTATGTAGGTTACTCTTTCAAGTGGGAGCTTCCCTGGAAGTTCTTATCCTGTGTTTATGCTTGCATAGATAGAATGATGGAAACAAACGTTTGACTACTAGTTTGGCAGGTTATCATAAGAATGCGCCCACTGAGTGGTTCAGAAATTTCCCAGCAAGGTCATAAAACTTGCGTCCGGCGAGAGAGTCCTCAGGTGATAGCTTGGACTGGGCCTCCAGAGTCCCGCTATACTTTCGATCTCGTTGCAGACGAGAATGTTAGCCAGGTTGAGTGTGATTCACCTTCTCAGTTGCTTTACCTTTTCTGCACACCTCCAATTTACCTTACTTTTATGTGGTGGCTCTAATTTTGTGTTTGGTTTCAGGAACAAATGTTCAAGGTGGCTGGGTTGCCGATGGTTGAGAACTGCATGGGAGGGTATAATAGCTGTATGTTTGCATATGGTCAGGTATGCTTCTGAGTGTTAGGTCAATCCTATTTTATCCTTTCATTTCAGCTCACTCCTTGGCTGAACTTAATGTTGTAACCAGAGCTATAGGTCCCAAAGATTATTACTAACTACTTGTTTCAGCAAACATTTTCTGCTGTACATACTATTTTAGTTTACTAGCTTATCATTCAAAAGAGTTGTCCATCACTTGTTCCAATTTTTGGGTAACGTCTTATTGATGCAGACAGGAAGTGGGAAGACTTACACCATGCTCGGAGACATAGAAGGAGGTACAAGAAGGCACAGTGTCCATTGTGGAATGACGCCGAGAGTCTTTGAATACTTGTTCTCGAGAATACAAAAGGTTTGCGTTATTCCATATTCTTTAAACATATCAACTTTCTTTTCTTGCTTGGTTTATCACTGAAGGTTTGTCTTTTGCTTCCCTGCGTGTACACAATTTTTTTTTATGCACAGGCACTGCAAAAGTTTATATCTGCATCATTTAAGAAAATGACTAAGTGCTTCCTTTTTATTGTATAGGAAAAAGATGTTCGGAAAGATGAAAAACTGAAGTTTGTGTGCAAATGCTCTTTCCTGGAGATATATAATGAACAGATTCTTGATCTGTTGGACCCATCATCGAACAATTTACAGGTTTGCATTAAGCTTACAGAGTCTTGATATTGAGAAACTTGATTTTATATGAATTCAAGTCTTCTTTATAGTTTCTGCTGCTTTGATAGTCACTTTCTCATGTTGGTGCAAGTTTTCTAGCCGTACAAGTTACAGTGTTTAGACAGACATTCACTACTTCCTTGATTCACTTCGACAAACTGAAGTTGTTTCATTGCATATTATAGATAAGGGAAGATGTGAAGAAAGGAGTATATGTCGAGAATTTGAAAGAGGTAGAAGTCACCAGTGCTCGAGATGTAATCCAGCAGCTTATTGAGGTACTATATGATTCGTGTTCTTTTCCATTAGTAGCTATAGTTTTCATGCTTGGTGATTTACACTGAAGTTTTCATAGCGTGGATGCACAGGTTAATGAGTTAATACTTTGTTTCAAACTTTGTCGATGGTTGGTAATTTACCAAAACTTGTGTCCATAATCCATATCCTTCTTGGTTTTGAGTTTGTATGATATCCATCACTGCTGCAATACGATGTAAATATGAGTGAACAAAGTACATAAAATTTCATCATTTGTAGCTTGCAATTGTTCAGTTCGATATAGTGTATGTCAAGCTGAAATATATCTTATGTTTCTTAAATACTTGAGATGGAGATCAGCAATGTTTACTTGAGATGGGTGTTAATGCTCTTTGTACATTATTTTTCAGGGTGCAGCAAATAGGAAAGTGGCTGCAACTAATATGAACCATGCAAGTAGTCGTTCTCACAGTGTATTCACATGCATTATTGAAAGTAAGGTTAGTATATCATCCTTCACTCACACTGAGACCTTATTTTCAAACTATCTTGTATACTTTGCATGAGCTTGATCAATGCTGATATTTGAGTTCTTATCAGTGGGAATCACAAGGTGTAACTCACCACCGGTTTGCTCGACTTAACCTAGTTGATTTAGCTGGGTCCGAAAGGTACATATGTTTAAATGTTGATCGTATCACATAAAATTTTAGCTCAGGAATTAATTATGAATGCTTCATATGATCTTGTTCTATATGCCCCTAGGCAGAAGAGTTCTGGTGCTGAAGGAGAACGCCTCAAGGAAGCTACAAACATTAACAAGTCCCTTTCCACCTTGGGGTATAGTCTCCCTTTTACCACAATATTTGTCATGAACGGTTGAAAAATTGCCTCCTTGCTATAGTCAAAGTATCAGTTATTCACAAAACTTTTCACTGATCTCACTTATTGCTTGCAGCCTTGTTATTATGAATCTTGTTAGCATATCAAATGGAAAATCACTCCATGTTCCGTACAGAGACTCAAAGTTGACATTTTTGCTTCAGGTAGACATTCATGCAGTAAATTTACTTTTGGAGTGGTGATGATAGATAGGTTGGTTGCTGCTCTAATGACATGTTGGCCATATAATCAGCATCTGATGCAAACTTTAATTTCCATTTTTAATGGTTGAGAAACGATTGCAACTTTAGATACTGACAAACTGCTGATACCACAGTGTCTTTTATTGTGTTGATTCTGAATTTTCAACTTTAGAATTTGTTGGTTAATAGGACTTCTAACCTCATTCAAAGATGGTAATTATTACAAGATTTTCGTCGTGTCACCAATGTCCGTAAACTTGGCTCATTTAAAGTGGAGTTGCTGAAGTTCGAACTGGCAAACATTGTCCAGTGGGAACACTCATTGCAAAAGGAGTCTATACTCTAGGATTTTGTGTTCTAACTGATTCCTTTATTTCAGGACTCTCTCGGAGGCAATTCAAAAACTATCATAGTTGCAAATATTAGTCCAGCTCTCTGGTGAGTCACCAACTGATCTTGTTTAAGGGGGGAACAAAACACTGTATATCCACTGTTTTTGCGACTTCCTTCACTCTCTGCCTTTGCCGGGTTTCCAATAATGCGCTTATGTGCACCGACATCATATGGCAGTTTAGAAAACTCTGGATCCGTAGACCTCATGGCATAAGACTAGAAAAATAAAAAATTGTTTGAAGTATCAACTTAACAGTTAAACACCCAAATCTGTGGTCGCTTAGTTTGCTCACAGTCCTCAATTTAGCAGAATGGTATTAGTTTCTGCAAATGGCATTTTTCTACTTTGGTCGATGCCGAGAAGCTGTTGCACCTTTTCAAGATCTATTGTTCTTCTAATTTATGAAGATTAAATATGATGCTGTTTGCCTTTTGCTTCTCTTTAATCCATCTTGACAAAATGTTTTCTGCCGATACACTTTTCTTTCTCGATCTCTATTTTCAGAAGATGAAATGTCTCATCATCTACTTATCTGATGATTGAATGTTTTTTGTCTTGTTGCAGCAATTCGTTGGAAACATTAGGCACATTGAAGTTCGCACAACGTGCAAAGTTCATAAAAAACAATGCAAGTGATCAACACTTATCCTTCTATTTGTGTAATTGTAATCTTTACGCTTTAGCACTGAAGTCATGGACTCCTGTTGAGATTGAAACTTCAATGATCTCTTGTATTGTTTATGGTCCTGTACTGTGGCCTTCTTTTATGAGCAATTATCTAAGGTTAGTGTCCTACCTTCCTTTAGGCAATTGTAAATGAAGATACTTCGGGAGATGTGATTGGAATGCGGATGCAAATTCAGCAGCTGAAGGTAACTTCGCTATACTCACCATCTCTATTCTCTGGTTTTCTCAAGTGAACCACGACCATAGTGATGGAGTTTTGTATTAGCACAATACTTACTTTTAGGTGTTCCACTTGATAAATTAAAAAAATGATAATATCTTTGTTTCCAGAAAGAGGTTTCCCACCTACGCAGTTTAGTGAATGATGGATCAGGCAGCTTTGCTGGAATCGAAGCATCAGCAGTAAGCATTGCTGGATCACCTAGTGCATTTAAATGGGAGGGTCTTCAAGGATCCTTCACTCCTTTTGTCTCTGACAAAAGGGCGTCTCAGGTATTTACTAAACTATTGAGCATTAGTCATTAGACCAAATCCAGATAAGACATAGTAACTTCTAGCTAACTGCTTGGTTTCCTTTTTCATTATTTTGCATCAGAAGCCAGACTATGAGATTGCCCTTATTGGAGCTATTAGGAGGGAAAAAGATAAGGACATGGAGTTGAAGGCACTGAAGGCTGAGAACCAGGCAGTCTTGCAACTGGTATGTCCTAAACAAACTTCTTCCTTTTGGTAGGTTACGTCCTATTGTTAAGCATATGTATACTCAATTTTCCTGAAGAAAATTTAGTTTTTGTAATCTGGATACTACAAAGATTGCAAAATAATGAAGTTAGTAGATCCTAATACCCCTCTTTCTTTCTTCTTTAGGCGGCCTTTCATTCTATTATTATCAATGTTTCTATCTGAAAATTAGTACTTAGTTAATGCATTTGTTTGACAATTAGGCTAAGCAAAGAGAAGATGAGATACAAGGCCTCAAAATGAGGTTACGATTCCGCGAAGCAGGAGTCAAGCGGTTAGAGTCAGTTGCTGCTGGTAAAATTTCAGCAGAGACACACTTGTTGCAAGAAAAGGAGGAACAATTGAAGGAGATTCAACTCCTGCGAACCCAAGTAGACAGGAATCAGGAAGTTACAAGATTTGCCATGGAAAATTTGAAGCTCAAGGAAGAAATTAGAAGGCATGTCTTGTTCATTCCTTCATAATCTACTCTGTCATTATTCCCTTTCATTCGGTAATGTTCATCTGTATTTATGGTAGAACTTAGACCATAATATCTGTTGGCTCTTTGTTTTCCTCAGGCTGAAATCATACTCCGAAGAGGGTGAAAGGGAGATTATGAATGAACAGATCACAGTGTTGCAGAATAAGGTATGAAAAGCATATGAGAGAGTTTTTACTTTCTATTTTGATCTCAAAACTCTCTGTCTAACTCAACATAGTTCTCTCCTTTCTTTTTTGGTAGTTGCTTGAGGCCCTTGATTGGAAACTTATGCATGAATCAGAAACCTTCTTCTCCCAGGTTCTGGATCACTCACTCACTTCAACTTTTATATTTGTACCCATCTATTTGAATTCCATGTGACCTATAGTCCTATACTTTTGTACTTGTACTCCAGAAGGAAGATTCGGTCAAGGAGAAAGATGAGGATATTGATCTCTTCAAGTTAAGCAAGGTAATTTACGCACTCTGGCTAGAAAGCTTTCTTAACGATATCATTGTTCCAAGAGCTACAGCCATCATTGATTCAGACTTTAATGGAGTTCCTGTGGACATGCATTCTGTCCTTCTGTAACTCAGGAATCTGGATCCCCTTGGCGTTTGAAGGAAGAGAATGAATTCCTCTGTATGCAGGTAGGTTGTTGACTTGTTGACTTGTTGTCTTCCTTTTTCTAAAGCAGTTTTCAATAATCAGCTTTGAAGTTGATGCTTATTTATTTGACATAATCAACTTAATTGTTATATCTCTTTAGGCTATTCAAAACCAGGCAGAAATAGACACTCTCCATAAGCAGTTGAGCTTCTGCCTAGAAGAAAGAGACAAACTTGAAAGGTAAGGAAATGGATTGTTTGAAAATGTTATATTTTGTGGTTCATTTGCCTGAAAATCGTAACAGATTCTCTTACTTTTACTTTCCTGTAGGCATGCCAGTGAGTTGGCAGAACAACTTGAAGAAGCCAGAAAACACATAAAGGAGGAGGAGCCCTCAGTTCGTATTAACAATCACATGGAGCTCAAGTCCATGGTTGTTGCAATTGCTGCTGCAACTCAACGAGAAGCAGAATTATCCAATGAGAATGCCGAAGTGAGATCAAAGCTCGAAGCTCGGATCCACGAAAACGAAGAACTTCAGTCAAAGCTGAAGGCCTTGATCGAAGAGAAGAACAGTCTCATTGAGATGTACGAACGTGCAGCTTCTGAAAGCAAATACAAAGCTTCCTGTGACAACAACATGGACGTAGACAGCCCAGGCAACAAACCAAACAGCTCAGAGTCGAGGAAAGCAGCCCTCGAGAAGTTAGAGCAGCAGCTTACAGAGATGCACGAAGAGAACGACAGGTTGCTTGGACTCTACGAAGCTGCAATGCGCGAGAAGGATGAACTGAGAAAGAAGTTGCATACATCAGAAGAAGCAAAGTTGAAGCTAGAAACAGCCGAGGAGAATAAGCTATCGGATTCTGCCCGAACTCTGACAGCAATGGAGGAGGCTTTTACAGAGTTCGACAGAGTCTCCTGTGGAGTGGAAGCCAAGCAACAGGAGCTGAGCTCCTTGGAGCTTCAATCCAAGGCATTGCAGCATGCAAAATCAGTCACGGAGAACAAGTTCTCGGCACTCAGATGTTCCCTCTCCAGCTTCTCCTCATCCCTCACCTACTTCGATCAGCGAGAAGCTCAAGCAAGGGCAAGAGTGAACGCTTCATCATCTTACCTCTCCCAAAAGGAAGAGGAGCTTGCCCGTCTTCAGGCCGAGAAGACAGAACTCGAGGCTGCAACAACAGGTAACAAGGCCAAACAATCCCAACTCGAGCTGAAGAGCAAGATTTCAGCTTTGAGATCCAAGCTCGACGAAGAGAACCGACGGCGTGAGAACGAGAAGGTCCTGCTGGCCATCGACAACATCGAGAGAGTAGACGGAGGAGGAGCGTTCGGCAAAGCCACGGAGCTGCTGAAGTCGGAGGAAGAGAGAGCCAAGGTGCATGCCGAGCTGAAGCACTCCATCGACAGGCTTGGCTCCATGAGGAAGGAGGCCGAGGATTCGAACAGGAAATTGAGCAAGGTCGTGGCCGAGTTGCAGGGCCTTCAGTCGGAAGTAGAGAGAAGCAAGATTACAGCAGAGGAAATGAAGGTTGCACTCGACAAGGTAGCGGAGGAGAAGGAAGCCGTCCTGGAGATGATCGGAAATGGCAGGTCGGAGCTGGAGCGGATGGTGGTGGAGTATCAGCAGGCAGTGTTTGCTGTAGATTTGAACGAGGCCGAGATGAAGATGACGGAGGAGGAAATGGTGGCGGAGGTGGGGAGGATGGAGGAGTTGAGAGCTCTGAAGTCGGCAGTTGCAGAAGATGTGAGGAAGAGATGAAGTGTCTTGAACCAGAGCTGTTGCTAACGGCAGAAGTTTAGGTATTGCTGCTTGGCTTTCATTTATCAAACATGTCGTTTGTCCAACCCAAGCTTGCATTTGTTTGTACAGCCTCTGATGTTATTTTGCTTGTAAAGAACTGTCGGTATATCCTGGTTCAGTTTTTAATGTTAGGTGCTATTTGTTCTAGTTGTTAGTTGATAATAATATAATATTTGATATTTGCCATGTGTTATTTTGAAATAATTCGTTTTACCACTCTACTTTTACCAAATACCACATGTCAAATACCATATTTACATATTTCAACCAAACGAGATACTTTATTTCAATTCAATTACCACTAAAATAACACTGAAATATCACATGAACAACAAATGAGTTATTTGACTCTACAAATACCACATTGACAATTAACCCATCCAAACGATTAGTTGCGTAAACAAGGCATCAAATCTCTGCCAAGTGCCAAGCACTAATACACTATAACCTTCAAACCACTTCAGTTTCTACAAGACTAAGCAAGCTGGTCTCAGAAAAAAAATCGGTAAGGATCTGTAAACATGAAAAGGGGGTGATGAAACTTATTGATAGAAAATTCGGAAGTACAGCATTTCTAGGCATCAGAACAAAAGAAGCGCAACCACCAGCAAGCAAGTTGCATTAGCGATATCTCTGCAGGAGCTCTAATGATGACAAGGGGGAAAAAAGGCCTACAAGATTTTAGCTCTAGCTCTGAGATTTTCAAATCCCTTAAGTTGCTTCATAGGTAGACAAACTCGGCCAATGTTTCAGCCATTCTTCTCGTTTGCATTCTCCTTGTGTCCACTGCAACAGTAGAAGTGTGGCAGCTTTACACGGCCACAAACCCTGCATCAACCGGACAATAAACCACTATTATAAGACCAGGGAAATTTTTAGGCGTTGATTTTACGAAGATGATATAGTTTGACACTGCAAGAGGGCCAAGAAACTCGGTTCAAACAGCAAAATAGTTTTCCGGAGAAGAAAAGATTGTCATTGTGGTTTTAACTCCATTTTCAAAGATCGTGGCATTTGATTTGGTGATAACTCTAAGAACAAGAGAGGAAAACACGAAGCAGAAGTTGTTCCTGACATTCTACACCAAATTTCGGGGGGAAAACAGTCAACAGAACACCTCAAAGCGAATATCTATGTTTACCATTCATGACAATGATGTTTAAGAAATAAGAAGCTTAAACGTTTCCTAAAGATTCAAATTCTGAAACCGATATGGTAATCAACAATCTGACTTCTGCACACATGCTGTACAAGCTCCAACACCACATGTGTAGTAACTCAGACTAGCCGATGAAAATTCGAAGTTCCGGCAATCATTATAAGATACAGCTAGGGAGTAGTAATCCTCACTATCATTAACAATGTGAGGCTGAATTCCTTACCGGCAGCGAATAATCACAGGTGTTGGCTTCAAAGCCTTTGGCCCATTTCTGATCCCTCTCTTATGAGGAGAAACCTGCAATGAGTTGGTGCAGAGACCATGCCAATCAATAACATGATCAGGTAGCAAATGCAAGCAGTACTAATTAGACATTCGCCCAAAGTTCTAAACCATAAAACCACCCAAGCATTTGACATAAACCCTAAAACCCTAAACCCTAATCAGTTCCATAAGACAGAGAGAACTCCGTCACCGTCCAAAATCTTCAATTGCGAGCATTAAAAATCAAGTCTTTCAGTTCAAGTATACACAAAGCAACACCTGACTGGATTGCTGAATGAAGGGTAAGGATCAAGAGCGAGAAAAGAAGCAGGAACAGAGAGAAAGTTCTCACCTTTCTCTTAGGAACAGCTAGCTCCATAGCTTCACCAACTGGGAAACCCGGGAACCCTAGCCCTCCCGAATCGCCATCTTTGCCCACGTGGTTACTCCACTCGCCATCCCTGTTCGGATTCGGAAGGGACCACGGAAACAGCAGAGGCGGAGGAAGAGACGGATGGTGAAGGAAATTGCTCAACGGCGGAGTCATGGCGGCAGCGACATTGTGTACCCAACGCCTGGATCCCGAAGTGCAGCACCAGCTAGAGCCAACGATGTTTCTCAGAATTGCGACCCTCGACGCCATTTTTTTTTGCTGCGTGGTAAAGCAAAGAGGTGTGGCGGTTCGCTGCGACGAAGTATTTCTTCCGAGTTCTGTCTAACTAACCAACTGCTATGGAATAGTGTCAGCCAACGGCGGGCTGGCAAAGGTTCCGATTTAGCGGCCCATCACTCAAACAAGTTACGGGTCACTGGGCTAAGTAAGTAGGGTGGGCAAAACTGGGCATGATAATCCGCAATTTGACGTCGATTCACCAACAAATAATTCAAATCGTGGTGAGTGGTTGATTGATGTTGGTGAATTGTGGATAAGAAATTTTCTACCCACACTTATTCGGGTGTGTGGTGGGTGGGTTACAAGTCATCCAAATGACTTATTAGCTTAGTTTGGCCCTGCTGTAGCTTTTGCAGAAGCAGCTTCTGGCTGGAGCTTTTAGATAAGTACTTTTCAAAAAAAGCAGTTTAGTGTTTGGCTGTAAAACTATTAGAAGTGCTTTTTAATATGAGCGGTTGTGTAAAATGACTATAAAGGACTTATAATATAAAATATAAATAAAAATTCGAAACAATAAAAAGTAGTCAAAATGGATCTTGTTAGATTTCTTTTATATTAAATAATATGATTTTATAATTTATTTTATTTTTAAAATGATATAAATGAAGGAAAATTATATTTTCTGAAATAAAACTAAAATATGGTAAGGATAATCTTGTATTTTCAAAACAGCTTTTCGCAGAAGCTCCAAATCGGAGCTTCTGCTTTTATGTTATACAAAAGCGCTTTTCGGCTTTTCAAAAGCCGAGCTTTTAGAGGTGTTTGGCCCTGCTTAAGCTTTTGAAACCGAAAAGCACTTCTAAAAGCCGGGCCAAACATAGGCATTATGCAAATTAGTCAACTTGTCTAATCACTAGTCAGAGAATTGTTTTTGCGGGTTAACCCACAATTCAACTACATCCATCCACCACCCACTCAACAGAACTCAAAGAAAATGTGGGTGGATAGCTAGTCGGAATTGTATTAACTCATTAATAAGCGAATGGATCAATTTGTGACCAAAATCCACCCAACTCACTCATTGCCTACTCCTAGTGGTAATTGCTTATTAGTTGAGCAGTGGGTGATTTATGCGGATTTGACTTGGTTTGGAACTAGCCACTATGTGGTGGATGAATGAGAAAATGACACGTCTACAAATGCATGCATGCATGTGTGAGTGGGTTTGGTGATTGTAGATTATGGGTAATTGTGGATTTACAACATAGATTCTAAAATTTCACATAATTCATAGTGTTCTAAACGTAAGCTGAAAGAAATATCAAAACTAAATAATGTAAATTCATAAATTAGTTGCATCATTTGACTTACAATATTACACTCATAAATGTCCACAAATTGCAGAAAATTCAAAGTGATAAACATAGTCTAAGTCTAATCATAACAAGATAAAAAATGAAGATGAAGTTTTATCATAAATCTAGCTAATTGTCTAAATTTTTTTATATGGGTTATATATGTAGAGTTTTTTAATTAGTGACTACTTAAGAAATTCGAATTTGGAACCTTCAGATTGAAGACCAGTGGTATCATCAAGAAAAGTTACCAAGCAATAGTAGAAAGAAGTGAACATATGTTATAGATTTATAGTCACTGAAACATTGAAAAAATATTCATTCAAAATTTTGGGAAGAAAGGATATATAGAGATTTGAGAAGACCTTTTGATTCGAAATGGGGGCATAAGGGGTTAGTGTCATTCCAATAACGTTGTATAGTCTTCGTTAAAATTGTAGAATCATAACTGCAAAGAACAACGAATATAACTCATGATTAGTATGATGGTAACTCTATTACAATTAACAAACTACCCATCCCCCAAACAAACTGCTTACCTACCTGACTTAATACTGTCGGGTCAACTCTTGCCTATCAGACTAATCGGACTGACCATCGGTTGAACCTTACAACCTATACTAATCGTTTGCTTCATGATTTGAGGTATGGATTTGGGTCAAAATCCATAATCATCTTGAATTTAGCATAAATCTATTGTTTGCTCCTAATTTTGGTAGAAGAACCAAATTCGTGAGACCCATTTACTTTAAGAGACTAAATCTGTGGGCCACGTAAACTTGCAAATCCTTATTTTCGAGCTTATACTTTTATGTTATATAAATAAACTTTTCAGTTTTTTAAAAGTTAAGTTTTTAGAAGTATTTAGTCATGTTTTAGTTTTTTAAGTCGAAAATCACTTTTAAAAATCGGATCAAAGATAGACTTTGACAACTAACTGTTGATCTAACTTCAACAGCAAAACGACAAGTCAGTTTGATTCCCCGGAAGCAAAATCCACCTTGTGCATGCCACGTCAACTTTCCACCGTACAAAACAGCAAATTAGGGTCAAAAGAGTAAATTAAACCTTCCAGAAGGCTCCGCTTATTCGACCTTCCCGGCTTCCTCCTCCTCCTTTCCCAGCAAAACAAAAAGAAAGGAAAAACTCATCTCCTCCACCGTCACCGTCCAGATTGACGATTCCGGTTCCGAGAATTTTCAATCGCAGGCTTTGTTTGGCGATCTAGAAAAACGCCGACGAGGGGAAAACTGGATAACGACCCGACTAGCTTCATCCATCTAATTTTTTTCTTCTTGTATTGCTCGCACGGACTTCGTTTTCTGGGAGGAGAGAAGGAAGAGTCCACGGAATTCGAAATTGTTTCCTTTGTTCTTGTGCCGGCGGTGCTTCTCCAATTCTTTTCGGAATAAGTAATCCGTTCTCGTTCTACTTGGGATCGTCTCTTGTAATTAATCTGTTTGCGGGGGTTGCCGGCGATCTTCGTTTGAATCGAGTTTGGATTGTCATTGTTTTGGCGGGGGAGAGGAGAGAATGTTCAACGGAATGATGGATCCTGAGCTGATCAAGCTCGCTCAAGAGCAGATGAGTCGGATGTCGCCCACCGAGTTGGCCAAGATCCAGCAGCAGGTTCTCCGTCTTCCCACCCTTCAATTCATTCTCCCCTCTTTACTAATGCTGCGAATTGTTCGATTTTGGAAGCTGTTCATTGAGCCGTGTTTTCAGTTCTGTATCTTTCTCTGTCTAATGGTGATGGCCAATGGGTGAATTTTGATTTCGCGTAATGTTCTGATTATGAATGAACCCTCTTGCTGGACGCCAATTTTACTGCTTTTCAAATTTGGGGAACATGTTGATTGGTATTATTGTTACTCTATTAACACATGCATTGAGTGAATTATGTTGGTAATTGGACCTATTACATGTGATCTTGGGTATTGATTATCGGTGGGATGAATGGTTCGAGACTTGCATGTGTACTGGTTGTAGTGATAACTTACTGGTTGCAAGTTTGATTGATGCTTTTTTCAGTATCGATTGGTTGACTTGCTCTTTGCTTTGCAGATGATGTCGAATCCAGATTTGATGAAAATGGCATCTGAAAGCATGAAGAACATGAGACCAGAAGACTTGAGGCAGGCGGCAGAGCAATTGAAGCATACTCGTCCTGATGAGATGGCTGAGATTGGTGAGAAGATTGCTACTGCATCGCCTGAAGAGATAGCAACTATGCGTGCCCGACTTGATTCCCAGGCCACATATGAAATGAATGCAGCTGAAATGTTGAAGAAACAGGTGAGAGGCCCTCTTAAAGATGGATAATTTCCCTTTGTTCTTGTACATCTTTGCCCTCTGATTGTTTGTGGAAGTCTTTTTCTTAGAAAGTCAAACACACTTAGATATGTACAAACTACAGAGTGCATCTACTTAACAGTTTTATAACTGTCACTGGAACTTTGGCAGGGTAATCAACTTCACAACCAGGGAAAATTCAGTGAGGCATCGGAAAAATATTTGCTTGTAAGTATCACCCTCCCCTTCCTCCTTTTTCTGTTTTCTCTGTCACTGTTCCCGCTGCTGCAAGAATAGATTTTGTTAGAGATTGTGAAATGTTTCCCAAGAGGTTTGATGGGACTCTATTTCCCTCGTTGGTATCTTAGGCAAAGAAGAATCTTAAAGGGAACCCAGCCTCCAAAGGCAGTGCACTTTTATTGGCGTGCTCTCTCAACCTGATGTCCTGTTACCTGAAGACAAAACAGTTTGATGAGTGCATTAAGGAAGGAACAGAGGTATGGATATATTATGGTAGTGAGCAGTTACTGTTTTCTGTTTAGTTCGTTTTCCATGTCACTGTAATTCATTTGAAGATAGGAAGAGGCATAACTAACTAAACTTAAAAGTAGGACCATGTTTGTATGATAGTTGGGAAGAGAATATTAGAAGACAGTCTTTTTGGTTCATTCCTTAATGGTTTGTCATGAAAACAAGTTTTTTCTACAGTTTCCTGATAGCCAGGAATTACTGGTTTTGTTTCTTTACTCTATACATATAGTTATGATTTGCTCATTTGCAGTTCCTTTTTATTAAAACCATCATCTTTATGTCTATTTTAGGTGTTGGCATATGATGGTAAGAATGTCAAGGCTCTTTATCGGAGAGGTCAAGCCTACAAAGAACTTGGACAATTGCGAGTAAGTCTATATCCAAAAGTTTCCAGCTTATTATTGAGATTTTCTGGATATCGGTTTTGTTTAACGTATTCTAATCTAGCTTGTCGAACTTATTCGTGATTTAGGATGCTGTCTCTGATCTGGCAAAAGCACATGAAATTTCACCTGATGATGAAACTATCACGGCTGTCTTAAGGTATTGACGCCTTGGGGCTCTCGTTAGCTAATATGTAACTGATTAGTGTTCTATATTGACTTGTACCTTGTCATTGCACATACTTGTTTGGCATCCAAACCTGTTGTCGCTGAATATGGGCTTTGTCTTGTCAATCTGGTTATTCATCTTTTTTACTGTTCAAATTTTGTTGAACATCCCGACTTCATCGTGGTGTCTTTGACTAATTCCTGCAAGTTTCTGTACAGGGATGCTGAGGAAAGTTTCGGTGAACAGGGTTACAGTGCACCAAAGGGTACATTATTCTTCATCTCCTATGTCCCTTGCTCTCTTTCCGTGCTTCATTTCAAAGGTTTTTAGTAACAATAATCTTATGTTGGAGCAGGAGTTGTAATTGAAGAGATAACTGAAGATTCATCTTCCGCGAATTGTGAAATTCCTCAACAGCATAGTAGGGATGTTCCAAACACTGGGGGTTCAATGACCAGTTCAGATTCTTTGCATGCCTTAAAAGATAACCCGGAAGCAGTAAGGTTTGTTCTAGGGCCCCTAGGAACTGCTGTACGTGCAATGCTATTTCCCTGTCGTACATTTCCCGAGTACAGCTTAACTCTTTTTATCTTTTCAATGAAGAGCATCTGTTAGTTTTACTTCAACTTAAATGAAAAGGAAAACTCATCATTTTTTTTCCTGAGAAGAACGAGAGATTTCCTCTCCTATGCATAAAAAGCTGAGAGAATTTAGCTGTTTGAATTGAGGGATGTAAGTGAAACTGTGAAATAACTCGAGAACAGATCCCTTTTCTGTAGTTGGGGCATGAAATACTATGATTCTCTACAGTTCAATCTAACTTTGATGGAAATCAGCTCTAAGATGTTGTTTTAATCCATGCTTTGATGATGTTTAGAAATGATCCATTTCTGTCTAACACTCTCTTTGACTTCAGGCACTCATGTCTATTGCCCAAATATTTAATTGCATTTCTCCCCTCTTGCAGGTCTTTCCAGAATTTCATTTCTAGTGCTGATCCTGAAACTTTGGCTTCAATAAGTGGTGGGAAAGCTACTGACATGTCCCCAGATATGTTCAAGACTGCTGCAAATATGATTGGAAAGATGCCTCCCGATGAGCTGCAGAAAATGCTTCAGATGGCATCTTCTTTCCAGCGGGGTAATCCATTTAGTAATGGTGTTGATAGTATCAGACCAGGTGGTGCCTTTCCTCCAAACATGAGCCCAGACATGATTAAAACTGCCTCTGAAATGATGAGCAACATGCCACCAGAAGATCTTCAAAAGATGTTTGAAATGGCATCCTCTCTTAGAGGAAAGGACTCTGCTGCAAAAGAAGGAACCTCTGGTCAACATGCATCTAGTTCAAGCAAAGTTTCAAACTTCACAGAACCTCGAGAAATGAGTTCTTTAAGTGGCAATAGTAGTGGTGACCCTAGTTCCTCTGGCAGTCTCTTTTCAAGGTCAATGAGTGATCAGTCAAGTTCTCCAAGCTCGGCTGGTGACCTGCAAGAACAGTTGAGAAATCAAATGAATGATCCAGCAACACGACAGGTATGTTTATTTGATCCCCTTTCTGTTTATCACATTGGGTTCTTTTAATGTCCAACATGATGATAAACTACTACACCCGTAGAAAGAAATAAAGAAAGAGGTGGATTTTGTATGTAAAGGAAATCCCCAGCTTCTCATGGGAAACTGCTGAGAGCAAACTGCATATTTGTTGACCAAACGAATTCCACGTTGCTAGTTTATGTATTAAGTCCTGAACTTTTATTTTCTCAGTCTGTCGAATCCTAAAATGTGCTATTTTCTTTACTCCCAGATGTTCACCTCAATGATGCAAAACATGAGTCCGGATATGATTGCCAACATGAGTAAGCAGTTTGGAGTGCAGCTTTCTCCAGAAGATGCAGCAAAAGCTCAGCAAGCCATGTCATCTCTATCCCCAGAAGACTTGGACAAAATGGTGCATACCTTTCTGGCTCTTATTTGTGCTCCTTTAAAAAAAAAATCGGTTTAGTTTGGTGTTCCTGATGGAAATTGTTATGACAGATGAGATGGATGGATAGGCTTCAAAGAGGAGCTGCAGGTGCAAAGAAAGCGAAGAACTGGTTACTTGGCAAACCAGGTCTGATCATGGCTATATGCATGCTTCTCTTGGCAATCCTCCTTAAGTGGCTTGGCTTCATCGGAAGGTAAAGTTCCCCGATCCCGATTCACCGGACTCCCCAACTTATCCGAGATTATTGGTTGTTCGAGTCAACGCAAGCTGAGTTGGCATAATGATGTGGCAAGGCCCGTTGTCTATTGAAAGAGATCTTGTGTTCCTGGGAAGAGTTTGAAAAAGCGAGACCCCATCAATGGAATAAGGGGAAATGAGAATTAGGGATGGAGAGTTTGGTTAGGCTTGTTATACTTATTTGGGGGAAGATAATGGTATGGTTAGGCCGCATACCAAGAATTTGTTGTTGCATGAAAATAACGTATTAGGTAATGAATTGTTTGAACGGATGAACTCGTGTCTCTATGTAGTTGTTTTTTCTTTCCATCTCGTGCAAGTTTTGTCGACATGTTGGATGCTCGATAGTAGAATGTGGGAATCCCAGGCAAGGTTATTCAGTATGTCTTTATCTCCTACTGCAGTAGTACTGCTACTTGTGGGTTCCGTGGCTTGGATTTCAGCATATGTTCTTATATTTGAGATAATGAACCATAGCTATTCATGGTGATATTCTCACCCGGTCTAATGGTGAAGACTGATGTAAGTGTCTCAAAGTGCAGCCGTGCAGGTCTCTTTTTAGGGTAACGTGGTTGGAATCTTGTGGATTTAAGTAGTTGTTGTGGCCATCACCATCACTTTTTCTTTTAATAGCTATTTTATACGAAGTATAATAATATACACGACCTTTGAAGGTCAAATTACAAATACAAAGGTCAAATTAGCAGGTCTAACAATAATAGGACTTCACGTATGCCACGGCTACTTAGCTTGAGTAGTTTGTCTGTTTAAGGTACGTAATCCAATCATAGAGATCTATGTTAAGTAATTCTACCAGACTGATGTGAATTTCGATCTTCTTGGTTTGGTTAGGACCATACTAAAGGAAAAATTCTTAGTTCCAACCATCTACATATCAGTTTGTTTGTTATTAGTGACTCACCTTCAATTTTTCCTTAATATTTAATGTTCTTAGTTATGCTAAATAATAAATAAATCAAGAATTAAAATACAAAAAATAGAGATGAACTCACTAATACGAAACTGACATGTGACTGGTTGAATCTTCTACGTTCAACCAAGATTGGTGATAAGAATTTTCTCATAGTAAAAGCATAACCAAGGTGTGAATTCAGATCTCGATTTATAAATACGTTGTTTATTGTGAGTCATGTGAGTCGCCAGGGGCGGAGGCAGTTTGTTAGGAGGGGGTGCCTTGGCACACCCTTGCCTTGGGAGAACAAAGTTCAAAGAGTATATTAGATGATTGTTTATAAATTATAATGAAACCTTGTACATGGAATCACATTCTTATCGTCACAATATCATTAGGTGAACTTAATGTGGTAGTATTTAACTATGTTTCCCTTTTCAATTCCAATCAAAACTTTTCCTCTCAAACATGGTCGCTAAGTTGCTCGACTTTACCTTTCCATTCAACCGACTTTCATCGGCTATCCATGAGTACTAGAGAGTCTTTACCGTAACCCCGCCATGAATTGGAATGATTAACAAAATTATGAAGCACTAGTCGATAGGATATATTGACAATAAGGTCTTTGATAGTTTAGATGAAGAATATATAATTTGCAAGTTTTATTAGAGTTGAAAAATGTTGTGTGTCATTGCAAAAATTAATAATTTCTCATATAAAATATTAAAAAAAATTGGTACCTCTTATAGAAAATCCTGGCTACACTACTGTGAGTCGCGATAAGTTGTGTCGATTATATAAGGTCTTGACAAATTTATGTTATTAAAAATAAAGCAAACACCTTGATTATACTCTTATTAGTTATTGCTAACAAATTTTCTCATCCAAGAAGTAAAAATCTGAAACCAATATTATCACAATTAATATGCTAAAAGGAAACTCTGAGGGTTCAACTTCAATAGCAGCCTCGTATATATTGTTATCTCGAATATTCTCAACCATCTAACATAAAATTGTTACAGAAAAACCAGGACCATCAACTTTAGAACTCGAAAGACAAAATATTGAGGCCACTACTAAATACTAATGGACACCAATCGGAGGATCACATATTGAGTCTGAGGTGGGAGCCACGTTATAGATAGGCAACAAGTGAACCATGAACTGTATCTTCTCCCATTGCCACCACAAAAGTTTAGGGTAATTAGCATAAATGGTCACAAACCTTTGCACTTAGTACAAAACAGTCACAAATCTTTAATTTGTAACCATTTGATAACAAAACTTTTTTACTTAGAACAAAACGGTCACAAATTAAACAGTGTGACCATTTCATACCAGTTCAAACTTTTGTTACCGTGTCGTTGCAAATTAGACTTTTGGTGACCGTTTTGTACAAATCAAGTTCAAAAGTTTGAACTCTCAATCACCGTTACAATTCACTCTAGTTGTATGGTGGTTTTGTTAATGTATGTGAATGATATTATGTTGTTTAGGATGACAATGAGAGAATTCAATGGCTCACAAACGGGTTCCAGACTACTTTTTAGTTGAAAGAACTATGTCTACTTTCTTACTTTCTTGGTATCGAAATTGAAAGGTCAACTGAGGGCATTCTTATTCGGCAAAGCAAACATGTCGATGAACACATGACCTGGCATCTTATATGTCATTCAAGTGGTTAGTGTCATATACTTAACGAACAAACTACCCGACCTCAAAACATGACAAACATTTAATTTGTAACGATTCGGTAACAAACCTTTGCACTCAAAACAAAACGGTCATAAATTAAATAGCGGTGACCATTTTATACAATTTCAAAGTTTTGTTACCGTATTGTTACAAATTAAAGGTTTATGACCATTTTGTACTAAGTGCAAAGGTTTGTTACCATTTATGCTAATTACCCCAAAAGTTTATATATATCTTAACCAGAGTTTCTATTAAAAATCCGAATTGTGCGAGGCAAGACCTAAAACCGTCAATATTTTGGTTTGGAAAAGGTTTAGCATGTTACAAGTGATATCGTTGCTTCTCTATGTCGTTTTTGAATGATGATGAGACAAATCTCAACGAATACATTGAGTTCCAAAGAGAGTGTAATGTAAGTTGTAACACTTTATGCAAACCGCACATTGACAAAGGGAGACTTCTATGGGTCATAAAAAAATAATAATACAACTTTAACTGAAAACAAAACCGTGTAGATTAGGCCCAAAGTGGACCATATGTTGATCAGAAGAAAAAAAAGGTGAAAATATTAAAAAAAAACTCCTGATATTCTTGACGGATACGAAAATCTCATGTAAATTATCATTACGGAAGACATAAATAAAACGAACACCCCAACTGAACGGACAACGCTGAAATATATGTAACCTGAATTTGAGCCATCGATATCGTTGAATCAACTAGAGTCCACCTATAGAATTGCCTTCCTTAATCTAACCTCCCAAATCAGCTTCAAAGATTTCTCAACAATCCATGACATTTGAAACCACTACGTCCTCTTTTTTAATTTTTTCCACCATTTCCCCCCTTCCCACTTGATGAATGAAATCCTTGTACGTTTGTCTTAACCTGGAATTGTAAATCCAGAATTTATTAGTGTGCGCAGAAAGGGACGTATTTAGTCTCCGCTTGAGTTGAGTGCGCATGTAATCTCTTTAAACTAATTAGGGATGGCAAAAATATCCGTAACCGTGGATATCCGCTCGAATCCGGCCTACTCGGGTAGTGTAAAACCCGAATCGAAAGGACATTTGGTGGGTACGGGTAAAATCCGAACCCGAATATTGCGGGTAATGGGTGGACATGGGTTTCTCACTATCCAACCCAAACCCGCCCGATTATACACATGCTTATGTATTTTGTCTATAAATAATCATTATTTTTCTCTAACATATTTTATATTTAGCATATAAATATAATATTTTCATGAAATTGTGTATTTTTAATTAATTTTCTTCATTCTAGAGAATTATTGTCGTACTTTTCCTTTTACGTAATGTGAGAATTCGTGTGAATGTTAACATATTGGTTGGAGTTATGAAGAGAAATTATTATCCATTGATAACCGTGGATACCCGAAACCCGAATGGGTATGGGTATGGGCATGGTTTTGATTTTCTACCCGTTTCACATGTGGGTATGGGTATGGATAAAATCCGAACTACTATGGGTAGGGTGACGGATATGCACTATCCGCGCCCGACCCGACCCGACCCATTGCCATCCCTAAAACTAATTAACTAATCCCACAGTTGTTATTTGTTAATTACTTATTAATTCAGCGTTTGTTTCCTTGAACGTCAATTAATTCTTTAAATTAACTGCCAACTAGTTTCTGTTTGTTTCTTCGGCTGGTCAAAAAGCTTCTGGAGGACCAGTCCCCTTCCTGGCAGAGACCACAGATAGGTTGTTGGGCAAGGAGTTCAGATGAAAGCCCCCTATACTTTTGCGTTCTCACTATTTAGTCCCAGGACTTCTACTCGGTCGTCGATCGGGCCTCTTAATCGTATAGATTTCAAATCAGTCTATCGGGCATATCGACTTATCGTATCTAGGATAACATTGGGTTCGAGTTGGGAGGATCTTTTAGTAATGAAATGATGGTTTGAAGACATTAATTATATAATTTGGTGAACATGTGACACATCAAGCTTAGTACTACTCTATTTGTGGTGTTTAGTGATAAAGATAGTACCAAAAATGATAAAAATAACCAATCATTCCATATGTACCTGGATTTGGTTAATCATTATATTATTGCTGTTAATTATGCGTTGCCTATCATCTATTTATCTTTCATTTATAAGAAAAGATAAGTAGAACAGGTTCAATGTTACACCTTCTAGATATATCCAATCATAGCAATCAAATGTCCTTTTCAACTAGCTGTAATTAACCGTTGGCCAATTTTGGTATTTATGAAAACTTAGCATACAAAAATTTCACCTCTTTCTCGTTAATTACTGACATGACGCTCATTGATGTTTATGTGTGTACATCGTTTGACATCCTCCAATCGTAAGAGATGAAATCTTTACCGCACAAAGATTGACTCAAAATCACTCTACATTGGACATTTGATAACAAACTCCAACATCAAATTCATTAAGTAGTAGTTAATCTTACGCGGAGTTTTTCGCTGACCCACAACTTGGGATTTGCATAACAGAGTGATAATAGTCGTTATCCAACCCAAATCTTCCAAATCTATAGCCCTTTCCAATCGTCGTCCGGGGACCAAGTTGCAAGAAACCAAAAACAAAGCTTCCAGTTATCTTATGTAATGATCGGATATTTTATGACAAAATCATGAATTAGTCGTAGTACAACCATTATTACCGCCTCCGGTTTAGCCTCCAATGTTGGTACTTTAATGTTGAACCCTCGATACGATAAAGGTTTCACAAGCTATGGTCCAAACGGAAAATTTCACAGGCTGCCGCCTACCCTGAGTACCAAAATGAAACTTTCCCCCCTCCCCTAAAACTGAACAGTTGTCTGCACAACACCAGAACTCGAAATTCCGCGTAATATTCCATACAAAAACAGAAAGAAAAAAATTCAGCTTAATAAATAAATCGAGAAAACAAAGTTAAAAACAGTCCAAAACAAAAAACGATTAACCTCCCAAAATATATATAATTTTAAAAATAAATAACGAGCCGATGAACAAGAACGAAGAATTTCAGTCCCCCGCCCGCCTATTTCGCGGATTCAGTTTTTCCCCCTTCTGTTATTAGTGTAAATCCCAATCAAGAAACCCGTCTTCTTCGATCTAATCCCATCATTATCATTAATTCATTATCATCATTATCTCCATTTTCCCCCTCTTATTTTTTTTTACTTTCTTCCTACCCTCCCTCCGATTTCCCAATTTCCCCCCGCTCCCGCAAACCTCTGGATTCCCTCCGGCGATGACGACAACGTCGACGTCCGCCATGGACGATCCTTTGATTTTACCGATACACCACTTTCTCTGATTGTCGCGGGGGAAAAACACCAAAACCGCCGCCCGAGGGGCAAAATAGAAAAAAATTCAGAGGAAGGAGAGAAATTCGATTTCGCCCTTCTTCTTCTTTAATTCGATTCCGATTCTTTTCGATTTTCTCCCCCTTTTTCCTTTTTCCATCGAATGGGGCGGAAGGACCTTTTCCCTCCGTCGCTAGGCAGCCGGAACAAGCAGCCGTTACTCGCCGACAAGCCGCACCCGAAACCGACGGAGGGGGCAGCGGCGGAGAAGAATGGAGGCGGAGGCGGAGGCGGAGGGGTTAGGGGTAGGAGGCTGGAGAGGAAGAACGCGATCCAGACGAAGAGGGCGGGGGAGGTGGCGGGAGGCGCGGCGGCGGAGTGCGCGGCGGTCTGCTGCTGCTGCCCGTGCACGCTGATGAACATCGTGGTGATGGCGGTGTACAAGGTCCCCGCGGGGCTGTGCCGGAAGGCGAAGAAGCGGCGGCGGCGGAAGAAGCAGCAGCAGAACCAGCACGGCGGGCTGCTGGCGCCGCCGGCGACGACGACGAGCAGCAGCGGCGGCGGGTCGAGGGAGGAGTTGGAGAGGGAGGTCAGGGAGGTGGTGGAGCGAGGGCGAGAAGGAGGCGCCGCCGCCGACGACGACGGCGCGAAGAAGACGGAGGATTTGGAGAAGGAGATGTGGAGCCGTTTCCACGGGACGGGTTTCTGGAGGAGCCCGTCGCAAAAGGACACGTAAGATCTGTTCGGCGACCCCGTCGCGCCGCCATCGGACGGTGGTGATTGGTTAGATTTGTTGATGATTGGACGGTGGTGATGGAGCGTAAGTGTATAGATGAGAGATTTATGTACATTGGTGATTGGTGAATATAATTTTGATGGGGAATTTGTTTGTACTTTTTTTTTTAGTAATATTTTTTTTTCCAGAGGTGAATGATGACTGAATGAATCTAGGGAGACTGTCCTGATATGTACTTTGGGGAGAGAGTTGGTGGGTACAAATTTGGTTAAATGGGCCCAAGCTTTGTTATCACCATGAGAGGCCCAAAACTGAGGTGTGTGGGCCATGTGGGTTTTGTGTAGTGGGCCAGATGAGCTGTTGTTGTCGAGGAATGAGGAGGATGAATGAAAGAATGAATGGTTTGGGTGGATTAGGCGGGTCGTTTGCTTCATGGATTTGAAAAATGAGGGTTTTGGTAAAACCTGGGTTTTGGAAAACCATGGATATATGATGGATTTGGTGGCATTATGGATTTGAACAAGTCTATTGTTTGCTTGATGGATTTGATTATGGACTTTGTTTGATTAGATTTGTGGATATTAAATACAAATTACCTAGTTACCCTTATTTAATTATATTTCTATATTATAATCCAAATCCTTCATTTAAAACTAATCCAAAACAAAGAAAGAAATTTTAAACTCTTTACCACTATGTGGATTAATAATTCAACTACAAATATAGAAATGTATTACAATTTGGCACTAATTAACAATTCATCTAATAATCCTTCATAAAAAAACAATTCATCTAATAATGTACGCAATAATATGTATCAATTGCAGCCAATTGCTCGCTTTATTGCTACAACTCATCATCTTCTTGCTAACTCACCGATACGGAATCCGACAATCAATCAAGTAATAATGTACAAGATGAGCATAAAGTATTTCTAGGTGAATCTAACAAATCACATATACATTCATATTTAAATAAAATACGATATTACAAAATGAAATGATAAATTCTCATATTTATAAAATACGAAATTATAAAAGTTTACCGTTGCATGACCATTGAATTAAAGTAGGACAAATTTGTAATTAAAGAAATAAGTATGGGTAGAAAGGTAATTTACCATCATGGATTTTAATCCATCACCCAAATCCCACCTCAAGAGGTGGAACTTCCAAGTCCGTGGGGTCCACGGATTTGGAACCCCAAAAGTGGTGGGCCCCACAAATTCCATCTCCCTAATTCCCTAAGGCAAACGATGGATTTCGGTTCAAGTCCATGATGGATATATTTCCATCACCAAATCCATCACCAAAACCCTCAAGCAAACGACCCCTAGGAGTTGTTCTAACTTCTAAGGTTGGTGGTTTTATTGCTCTGGGTTTGTGCTGTTAAGATGGTGTTAAACAAGAATTTAGATTAATAAGAGATAGTGGGTTCTAATTTTGGCTTCAATAAAAGTTAATTTATGATGTATTAAAGTTTACGCGCGCGAAATATAGGCGACGATGGTACATAATTTGAAAACGGATGTAGCACACAACGTTGCTTGCTTCCTCCTCATCTCTGAAAATTCTTATATTTCTTTCGAGCCACGCCCGCCAGCATAAAGCATGAAGGGAAAATTCTTGAACACCATTGCTCTGGGCAGCGTGCATCCTGCAGCTGCCACCCTCTAATCAATGCAGTAATGTCCGAAGTTGGAAAGGATCATTATAGAAGATTGGATGAGGGTCTTAAAGCTACGATTCATGCCAAGAGCTTCACATATAGAACAAGCTTTACAACCTTGAGCTTTGAAGGATAAATGGAGAGTTGATGGGGGTTTTGTTGGGAAGGATTTATTCGGGGGTGGACTTTTGCCCTCTGCTTGTCCTTTTCACTCTGTTTGCGACAGGGCGCCTTTGCCTCTGTTCTTTTTTTTGTTTTCCTTCCCTTTTTTCCCGTCGGCGTTTTTGTCGATCTTTTTAATTGTAATTGATTTCGCCATTAACAAAAAAAGTTAGTAACACAAGTAAAAACGCAGATCGGCCGATAAATGGAAGACGAAACAATGGGTGGTCTATGTGTTAGGGTGTGGATGGTGAATAGGCATGGCTTGGGTAGTAGTTTGTGTCAAATCTCTTGTACAACCAACAAGGACTTCGTCCGGTAGTAACACTACTGGTTTTGAACCTGCAGATTTTAACCTCGAATTTCTTAAGTTACACCTAATTAAAAACCAGATCTTATGAATGATTTCGTTGGAGTTATTTGAGGAGTGAATCTTGTGACTCAAAATGTAGATGAGGAATTCTTAACATAATGCATTGACAATTTATGGTTATGGAGGGGGCACCTGAGGAGCAGTTGCAGTCACTAGTCCTCCTTACATTCTTATGCTAACATCTTCCTTACTCTGGCTGTGGTCATCAAAACCAAATGTCTATTCCATTCGACCCGCTAGGGCCATTTACTGTAACTGGCACTAGGCAGGGTTGCCCACGAATTAGCAGAGCATGGCACGACACGGTTAGAGGATGACATGAGCACGTGCACGAATAGTTTATAGGTCATGCAGACATGACACAATATATAAGTGGCCTATATAGGGCGTAATATTTTTGGAACCCATAGAGTATAAGCACGAGAGGGCACAATATTTTCTTTTATAAAAAAATAAATATGAACACATTATGAGTTAAAAATTACAAAATATAACTACACAAATAATGAATTATTGTTGTTAAAAGTGATTATAAAATATTATATGTAATTACTATCATAAATAAAATGGACGTAGAATAAAAAGAACGTGAAGGTTTAATCACTTTCATTATACTTCCAATTTTCTTCTTCATCTTATTTATTACCTTTCTCAAACATTTTCAATTAATACTTTCGTTCTCCATCCAATTTTCTCATTTTTTCATTCCTACTTTTATTTTCTTCCTTTTTCATTAAACACGAATTTGAGCACGACACAAACACGAGTTAGCACGACTGTTAGTAAATGGTATTCATCAATTATTGAACCTTTCCCAACAACTCGAGTTATTGAGACCAACTAGTTTTTGACGTGGTATCAGAGCCTTCTGTAGTTGAGAGGTCTTATGTTCCAGTCCCAATGACTTCATTTGTTATCTTAAGCATATGGTGTATAGATTTGTGCAAACTAATTCAAGCTAGCCCATACGAGCCGACTTCCGTTTGAGAGGTTGTGCTAGTATATGGTATATGATTCATCATTGAACATCTCCCAATAACTCGAATTATTGGAATCAACTGATTCTTGACAACGCCAATATTCAAACCGTGCCTAACCCCTGACCTGACCAAATAAATTTTAAAAAAATGAACTTGCATAACACTAAAACTAACAGACCGTTCCAAACACAAATACACAACATGAGATAACAACGAGATTGAAACGTGCATGTGTTGTGCCGGCCCAAACATGGCCCAACGCCCAGGTAGAGCCACTACTGACTACTCCATGGTTCCATTTTATGCTTACATAATAGCGTTATGTGATGTTAGGCTTTGCTTTGTGTAAATACTTCTTCGACACAATTTTCTTTATAGTTTTGGTCCTAACTAACATTGGGGATTTGGGGTGGTTAGCAATTAGCATGTCAAAACCCAATTGCCATAAACGTTTGCCAATTTCAGAAACTGGCCTGCTCAGCTCTTCCCCACCATCACACATTTTGCCGCAAGTTGGGTCCTCCATTTTTACATGAAGCAAATGCAGTGCATTGAAATTCCGATTCAATTGTGACCAGACAGAGAAATTAATCTCGGTCCTGTGACAACAATTTATCATTCATCGACTCAGTGCACCACCAATCAGAAGTCTTAAAACATCTCAACAATACATATAATATTATGGTGGCCACCGGCAGGAATGTAAACTCGTATTAAACGCTGTCAGGATTTGTCGGGGTTGGGGTTTGCCGTCGCAAGACGGATTTCTCCTCGTATAAAAGAAATATTATTCTTTTATACATTGTTTCAAGGAAGGACAACTCAAAGAGTTAAAGTGCTCTTGGTGAAGTATAGTGATACTACATAGAAAATCAGTTCATTTCAATAATTCGTATTATTGAAAGATGTACAAAATGAACTGGTGGTTTTTAGATTCTGTCTACAGGAACCCCACGCGAGTGGTGACAAGACATGGTTTGATGCCATTGATACTCATCTTACTGGCATAGAGATAGCAACGAATCGGGTGAGGGGTTCAATATCGTACCCGAAATAGTTCTAGTTTCACTCATATGCCATACCCATACAAGAATCGAGTATAGTATCAAAATCAAACCCGATTGGGTTGTCATATTCACGATTATCTATGAATAATATATTTCAACAAACATGTTAACAAGTATACGTATTCTTACATTACATAAGTGAAAGTAAAACACTGAATTACTGGTAGCAAAATAATTAATATATGTTTTCGTTAATAAAGGAACTAGTACCAATTACCAAATGACTCTCAATAAATTCAGAATCCAACCCCATTGCGATTTTAGAAAGTTTGATATTTTGAAACTTGAAAGGAAAAGAAACAATAGCAAGTTGAGTGGAGGACAGAACAGAAAAGGCGGAGTCACTCGGCAGCAGTGCTTCTTCTTCAGTCTTCCCTTTCACAGAACAGAACAGAACCATTTCCTTTCTCATCAATTATTAGGTTTAGGGTTGGTTGAGATGAGATCCGAACAAACCTAAATTGACCCAAAAGAAGCTCCTTTTTTTTATTCTCAATCCATCCAGCTTAATTAAGAACCCACCTCCTAGTCGTACCTCATTCATGCCAATTAAATCTTTGTTTGGTCCAAAGTGCCAAATGGGATGCTAGTTAAATCAATGATCGTGTTAAGTGTTCAAAGAAACTATAATCCTACTATGTAATGCTTTATCCTACACATATCGAGTTTTTCTAATTGAGTTCCTTTTAATTATCTCTCAGTGTTTATTTATAAGAGAGTGAAATTGTCGACCAAGTGAAGATGGAGATGATGCATAAATTGTAATCGTTGTATACTTTTGCACCAAAAAAAAGTGGTTTGCTAGTACTACTTCCTTATAATTTATTCAGAGGATTACTAGCTGGTGTACTGAATGTTACGAGAGTGATATATTATAGGCTAAAAATAATGGTTGATTTAGGATTAATTTGTGGATGTGCTCAAAACGGTATTTGATGTGATCTAATAAATTTTATGTGTAATTTGATTCATTTTGCTTCATTTTTATAAATATGACACATGCGATTTGAGATGACAAACATGACACGAAATACTTTACTTTGACTACAAACACAACACTCCTTATTAATTCTCAGTTAATTAGATTTAGCGCTCTTGAAAATCCGAATTTGTATAAAAAATCACCAAGTATGCAGTTACATCCCCTAAAAATATTCAATTTTAAGCTTTTTTGTAGAAACAATATTAAGCTTTTTCATAGAGAGCCATAGACCCCCCTCTCTCAAGTAGGGATGGCAATTTGAACCCGCCCCGCCGGGTAATACCCGACCTGACCCGCGATGGGGCGGGTATTACCCGACCCGCATTAGCGTGGGGCGGGGCATGGGTATCAACTTCCGACCCGCTCTGCCCCGCCCCGCCCCATTCTTACCCCGTTCTATGTCAATTTTTTACCCCATCCATTCATATATCTCCTATTTTGACTTTTATTCAACTATTTAGATTTGATCTTTCAACTAAATAGACTCAATTACTTATTTGTGCGTGTATTTTTCTCAAATAGCATGTAAGAGTGGGTCGACCCGCCTTGCCCCGTCCCGCGCGGGTATTACCTGCCCCGACCAGTACTAGCGTGGGGCGGGGCATGGGTATTGAGGTACCCGCCCCGCCCCGACCCATTGCCATCACTACTCTCAAGTCATCTTTATCATTTCGAAAAAGAGTACAAAATTTAAAAATAAAGCCATAATCCTATTTTATCCTGATATTAAACCAATAAGATTCAGTCAAACCTTATTACATAATGCATCTACAAGCATGCCAAATTCTATGTCTTCTCATCTATTCGATTTTAAGATTTCGAACAAGAGTCATTCAATTCTATGATGCAACTAGATTTACTACAAGATTAAACTTAGTAATGACATTGCTCCATTGGAGACACCAAACCTTTCATGCTAATCATGGGATAAAGGTTGTGTTCGTGTCTAAGGCCTCAAACAAGTGCAATGACTAGATTTTTCAATGAGGCGGTCAAAAATATCTTAATTCTTACATATTTAATAGATGAAAATTGAATAAATGAAAATTAATTCATTGCCAAGAGAAAAACTTGGTTTGGATTTCAAGTTACTGACAATTTTATGATCCAACTACTAAAAAAAATAACAAGAGATCAAATTGAAGAAAATCAAATTAAAATTTTAACTACTTTTAGTCAATCTCTTCGTAAAGGAAAATACATAAATAAAATAACACATTGCTGACCCATTCTGACCGAACCGGACCTGTGCCGACCCAACAAGAAATTTCGGCAATTTATAATTAATATTACGATGAAATGAGAGGTCAGTGAATCACACGCGCGCACTCACGCGAGTCAGGACACACAGTCACAGTTCACACACACAGAGAGCACCGAAAGGGCGGAAAGGAACGCAAACCCAAACTAGAAACAAAAAACAAAGAATTCACAGAAACTCAGAAAGACCCATCACATACAAGAAGAACAAAGACTTCTTCTTCTTCTTCTTCTTCTTCTTCTTCCCCCCAACCCACAGCTCTTCAAGCAATTGCTCCCCTCTTTCCCTTCACCATCTCTTCCGATTTCTAGGGTTTTTCGTCTCGCCCTCTTCCCGCGTCGGCTCTGCGAACATATTTATATTCGGATTGCAATCGGAAGCTCGATCTGTAAATAGTTTGATCGGATTCCAGAACCGACATCCATGGAGGTAAAACCAAAACGTACCCTTAAACCCCCTCTTCCCTTCACTTAACTGTCGTCTCCGCCTGCTGTTATTTCGCTTCTTTTTTAAGCTATTTGTTGGTTCTGTTTTGTGGCTTCACTGGTTGTGGATAGGGTCTGAGAGTTGTTTGAATTGGGCCGGCTTGTTTGAATGAGATCAAGAATTTCAAGCTCATTTGTTTATTAGAGTTCATTTCCCAACTCTGCTTCTAGTCCTGGATGAATGAAAACAGCTCTGGAATTCACTGAAGAGAGTGGCCTTCTATGGATGGTCTAACCCTGTTTTGAGAAGGGATATTGATTTGCTTTCCCATTTAGAATCTTATCTTGAGATGGGAACTTGTTGGAGTTTCACTCCAGTGAGGGTTTACTTATGGAGAGTTGGATTGTTTGATGATTTTTTGTGAAGTCCAAGTGATCGTCTAATGTTATTTGCATACTCTGGACATTGTTAAAGGAATCAAGGCCCAAACTTTTGGGGTTGGGTTTTTGTAGGGAATGGAAGAGAGCAAGAAGGCGGAAGCGCATTTAACATCTGCTGCGGCTTTCGTGGAAGGAGGCATTCAGGATGCCTGTGATGATGCTTGCAGCATATGTCTTGAAGACTTCTGTGACAGTGATCCATCAACTGTATGTCTGTAGGCACTACTAGGGGTTCTCTCTTCTTATACGCATTAAGTTGTTGTTTTACTGTTACTTGAAGCAAGCTTTTGTTGATTCCCCCCCCCTCTCCTTGGGTTTTTTTCTTCTCTTTTGCAGTTAACCACTTGCAAGCATGAGTTCCATCTCCAATGCGTCCTTGAATGGTGCGTTGATTAGTACACATGAATTTAGATTTCAATGGTCAGATTATTTGCTAAGCTACAGCTTTGTTTGATGCATTTATATTATGGATGGGTCTCAGATATTTATCCTATCTAACCCATATGTTGAAATCTATTGGAAAATGAACCGGCCTAAAGTCTTTCACATTTATGGTTAGCTCTTGCTTACATCTCATTGAACATGACTCTTACAAGATTGGAAAGAAGCTAGCTTTTGCATCTTGATAACTATACTTCATCACACCAAAATTAAACTACACTTCTGATTGAGGAAAGAAGCTAGCTTTATGGTGTGCAACCCATATTTGATGCTCGAGGTGAAAAGTTCAGCTCATGATGGTGTTCAGTTGCTATTAAACTACCCCCATATAACTTTGTTGTAGCAGCAGTATGAGTTCCTAGAGTTGGGTGCCCTAGAAATCTTTTGGATGATATTATGAGGTAGGAATGCGGTTGGTTATAGAATCTACTAAATCATACAGGTTTCTACGAGTAGCTAGAGGCTCCTGTGTAAACCCGGGATAGTTATAATGTGTATTTTCAAATAAGATGATCTGATAGCTCAGTTGATTTTAAGAATACCTTGTTTGGGTGTTACGAGGTGACTTCAATTTTTTTCCTGGTCAATGACAATTTTTTTTGTAAAAGGAAAGCAGAGGTAAATATCGGACTAGTGAGAAGATCATTGGGATTGAAAGGGTGAGAGATAACAACTTCCAAAATGATGTTCGTAAAATCTCATAAAAGTTCAAAAGACATGCATTTTAAAAATGTTGTATTCTGAAGAACATTGTATTTACGGAATGCATGTATTCTAATACGTCCGTAGAGATCATCCGAAGTTTTGAATGACCCTTCACCATATTACTATTATTGTAAACCTAACCTCTTCTATGACCTCAGATCTGGTACGTTATGTTTAGTAGTCATTGTATGCTTAAAGACTTGCAATTTTTTGCCATGTGATGATCAAGTAAGAAAACCCTTTTCTCCCTAAAAGGTATTTGCCTAATTAATGTGGTCAGTAATCTCTTTTGATGTCTTGGGTGATGTTCACGTAGGCAACCGTTTTACTAAACTATGTGATGTTTTGGTTGGTTTTCATATTTTTAGTGTGGGTAGCTGCTCTTTCGATTGGTTGTGCCAAGATTAAATGAACTCTGTTTTTCTTTTAGATGGTAATATATTAAGTTGCAACCTTTTATCCATAACCAGGTGTCAAAGAAGCTCCCAGTGTCCTATGTGCTGGCAACCCATTTCCTTGAAGGATCCAACCAGGTTCATCTCCTGCATTCCTGTTTGTATCATCCTTGGATTGCTGTCGACGTGGAGACAATTGCTGATTTTTATTTTGCTTTAACAGTCAGGAACTGCTTGAAGCTGTAGAACGCGAGAGAAATATAAGATTGAATCCACCAAGGAATTCTGCCATATTTCATCATCCCACTTTGGGAGACTTTGAATTGCAACATGTCTGTATTGTTCCTGCATGCATAAAGTTTCCGCTCCTTAAAGTTCCAGTTTAAGTAAAATTCTTTATACATTCAAAACAGAGCCAATGTGCAGTGTGTTCTAAACTGAGGTTCTTTTGCTAATTCAGCTGCCAGTTGGTATAAATGAAGCTGAACTCGAAGAGCGAATAATCCAGCACCTGGCTGCTGCTGCTGCAATGGGACGGCGTCATGTTTCTCGTAGAGAAGGTTCCCGGAATAGGTCATCATCTCAAAGCCGCCCTCAATATGTAGTGTTTTCTAGTCATCACAATGGGCCAGCCACTGGTCCAACTGGCGCTTCCCCAACCCAAAGAGGAGAGGTTGAAGCAGGTCCAATCGCTACACTAGCGACACCATCTTCTCCAGTCAGAGGGGCTGGCGAGTCATCTCCCCTTCCAAATAGCAGAGAAGCATCTCCCCAAGTGGTTACACCATTATCAACAAGTGGCCATGCCGGTTCACCCGCTTCTGGCTCTGGTGTTGGTATCAGCCAACACCGAACTTCATCAAACACTGGGTACTGATTCGTTCCACTTTTCTCTTATCAAGATTCCGTTGGCATTGTCCCAAAGACAATATTTTTCTATTTGCTAGCCTTTTAAACGTAACTTGTGTCTTCTCTTTAGATCTCCTAGTCAGTCTTCCCCAAATAGTCAAGACAGAGCTGGGCCATCCGAACTCCAATCCATCTCAGACTCCATAAAATCTAAGCTTAATGCAGTTTCAATGAAGTAACTTTTACCGATCCTTGTTTCTTGCCTTTCCATAAGGGTTGTAATCTTGTTTGGTCAACTCAGTTCCTTTTTTGTTATTGGTTTCAGATACAAGGAATCAATTACGAAGAGTACAAGGAGTTGGAAGGAGAGATTTTTTTCTCGCAGCTCTCCAATGGCAGACCTCAGTTCTGATGTTAGAAGAGAGGTAAATGCCGGAATTGCAACAGTTTCTCGCATGATGGAGCCTCTGGATTCCAGAGAGAGAGAAGAAATAACAAGCACTTCGGCATCAAACGCAGAGGTCGATACTAATTTAGTCCGGGAAACCGATCATGAACATATATCAGAAGCTGGTGGCAGTGAACGCATTCTAACAGTAACGAGTACCGCCACCAATGTGCATGCTCCACCGGCTGCAGCTTCTGGTACGAATTGAATACTAAAGGTTCTGCAATTGCTTCAACTCGAGCGGTTTCTCAGGTGCGATGCACTTCACCCTCTTAAACTCTAATATGAGTATCCTACAACCATATGATTCCATTCTGGATCATCCGAATCATCCGGCCATTAAGCAATGGGAGTCCATGATCTTCACTCAATGTAATTCTCCTTTGCAGATTGATCACATCGGATGGATGGATCGGTTTGAGTGCAATTGTTGATGGATCAATAGAGAGCGAGCTCATGATTCAGAATAAAGAAGAAGCTATTCTGGATTTGGACTGGGAAAGACATACCTCAGGCTACACATGATATAATATATATATATATATATATATATATATATATATATATATATATATATATATATATATATATATATATATATATATATATATAGAACGCTAGATTTGTTATTCTCATTGTACATTAGACTCACTGCGAGGTTTATATAGTAATAAAATGTACCATAAATTCTTATCGTGATCCTATCCATTTACATTGTTTTAGGAATTGTTCTAAACACATGATGATTTAAGAACTGACATCTATAAAAGTAAGAATTGTATTTTGATCTCCCTTTTCCCTTCCTTTCACGATAAAAAACGAATTGTTTTTTTGACCAAGTACAGAAGGAACTTGAAACGCTTTGCTCTGTTCTTGCAATAAGTTAGAGACTTTAATGATTCCCAGTATCAAATGTGCAAAATACGCGCTTTTCCTTTCCTCTTCATAAGTAATAAAAAAACACGCTGTTCCATTTTTTTAAAGCACTGAATCGAATCTCGTTTCTCCCGCGCTAATTCTCTCTTTCAACGTTACCGAACGCCGATCAACTTATCAAGCCAGTGTTTATATATATACATGTTCATGATTTAATGACACTTCCGCACCAAAACACTTGATCTTCTTGCTTGCTTTCCACCCACATTTAATGGCACTAACGGCGGGCTATTACGATTATTGTTGTTCTCGGAGTTGTTCATCATCATCAGCAGCAGCAGCCTTATCTTCGGCCTCCCGCTGTAGTGGTGTTAATCGCAGTCCCCGCCGGAGCTACTTGCCGGCCTCTTCTTACCCCTTCATTAAGCTCAAGAAGATCAACTCTGGGATTAGCACAAGATCATCATTACGTGTATGCTACGGCAGGTCATCGTCTCCTTCAATCACCCATGTTCGAGTTAGCTGCCAATCCGAGGTACGTATTAACGTAAATTTCGTTGTTACGTATGATGGGGATCTTTGTAAAACAGAATCAACATTGTCTTTCAGGCTCAGGACACAGCAGCAGAGCGAGTCGAAGCGAGAACAACAGTAGGGAGGAGAAGGTGCTCACCATTCCTGGAGAAGAGATTGCTGTCGGGGACCGGACTGGAGAGCGATGAATGGACAAGTGTTGCAGACATTTGGAGGTCTAGTGCGGAGAAATATGGAGACAGAGTTGCAGTGGTGGATCCATACCATCATCCCCCAACTACTCTCACTTACAAACAGGTCCACTTTCTGATTGTTTCTCACCATGATTTGTTTCCCCCATAACTTTTTCACCGAGAGAGCAGGAGCTTGTCTTTGAAATTTGCAGCTGGAGCAAGAGATACTGTATTTCGCGGAAGGATTGAGGATGATGGGGTTGGAGCCACAAGAGAAGCTTGCCCTTTTTGCTGATAATTCTAGCAGGTGGCTTGTTGCAGACCAAGGTAAGCAACACCAGCTAGCACTCTTTACAAAGCCCTAGCTTTCCCTTTTTAGGTGAATGATTATTCATGCTGGATTTCTTGCACTCTTCTCTATCATGTATTCATGTTCTCCATCCTGTTTAATTTCAAAGTTGATTACTTTGACTTCTGATGGGTAGAGCATTAGGTATGATGGCTCATAGTGTTTGCCATACTTTCCATTAGAAGAAGTTGGTCCTGGGATAGAATTGTCTACTGAAGCTTATTTACTTTCCTGTAAATTTCTTTTATCCAAAGGGTCAATGGCTATGGGAGCAGTCAATGTCGTGAGAGGAACAAAATCAACTGCTGAAGAGCTACTGCAGATATACACTCACTCTGATAGGTTTGGAATTTCTCTCTTCCTTTTGATGCTAAACAACATTATGAGTTACTTACTGTCTTACATGTGTGCAGCATCGCGCTTGCTGTGGACAACCCTGAATTACTCAACCGAGTCGTGGGAACATTATGTTCAAATGCAACAGTTAAGTTTGTCATTCTGCTTTGGGGAGAGAAGCAATGCCGGGATAAGATTGGAATCGAGGGGTTGCCTGTTTATAGTTACCAAGAGATCATTGATTTAGGACGTGAAAGCTACAAAGCTTTATCTGATTCCAATCATACAAGTAAGTTTGTCGATTGTTAACATATCGGTCTTACTATGATAAAGTTATACCCATTTGTTCAAGCGAAGTGAATTTGTTCGAATTGCATGTTTACTGCAAACAATATGGTTGCAGGGTCAATGAATATACATGAAACCATAAGCTCTGATGATGTTGCTACACTTATGTACACGAGTGGAACCACTGGAAATCCCAAAGGTGTCATGCTTACACATAGGAATCTATTGCACCAGGTGTTGTTTAGTTGTTCAATCCTCAGTGCTAATCAATCACATGCTACTTTACTAAAGAGAGGCAAGGCCTCAGCTGGAGGGATTTGTTAACATTCATCTGTTGTTATTTTTTTCTCTCCAGATAAATTCTCTGCGGGACATCATTCTTCCTGAACCTGGGAACAGACTTGTGAGCATGCTTCCATCGTGGCATGCGTATGAACGAGCTGGCGAGTACTTCGCTTTTGCATGTGGTGTTGAGCAAGTCTACACAACTGTGATGAAGTTAAAGGTAACAAAATCGTCTTCTAATGTAATTAGCCTTTAGTCATTAGTACCATTGTCCCTTAATGTAGTAGCTTGATATGGTTTGAATTGCACATATCTCTTATTGGTAGGATGATCTGCGGCGTTACCAACCACATTACATTTTCTGTGTTCCTTTAATATTTGAGACACTCTACAGGTCAGTTACGTTGTTGTCCAACAAATTACAGTAGTAGAAGTTCATACTTGTATGGTGAGGGATTTTTGTAATCTATATCTGAGCTAATTTGTGCAGTGGGATACAGAAACAGATTTATTCCAGTTCTATGCTTCGCAAGGTTGTTCTACTTACTCTACTAAGGGTCAGCTCAACTTACATGGACATGAAGCGAATCTACGAGGTCTCAGGGATACAGTTCTAGAGCTCTTTGAGTTTCTTTCCTCTGTTTGAATTCCTTCTTTAATCGGTCAATTCTGGAAACTTTCTAGATGACCATATGATGGAATCTGACTTGTTTCTTTCTATATCATTATCAGGGAATGTATTTAACATCAGAAGTGCAGCAGCCATCACGTCTTGTTGCATTGGTAGACTGGCTATGGGCACGAATAATTGCTGCAATATTGCTGCCAGTGCATATGCTGGCTAAGAAGATGATCTACAGCAAGATCCACTCTGCTATTGGAATAAGCATGGTCTTGTTCCCCTCCATTTTCGCACATTGTCGATAAAGAGTCAATGGTTTTCGCTTGTTCTTACCTTTATATTACTTGGGAAATATTAACTGTTGGTAACTTGCAGGCTGCCATTAGTGGAGGTGGCAGTTTACCTTCACATGTTGATAGATTCTTTGAGGTCAGTTCTTTTTCATTTTAATCTTTTCCCTCTATGTATCTACAAGTCACTTTCATTAATTTTCTATGATGAATATTGTTGACTGGAATTATGCAGGCGATTGGTGTAAATTTACAGAATGGTTATGGAATGACAGAGACAGCTCCAGTTACTGCAGCTCGACGACTTAGCCATAATGTGAGGCATCAGTTTATGCATTGCCACTGCACTTATTAAACTGCACCTAACCAAATTCTGAAGGCTTTTCTTGTTTCCTTTACTTTGTTCTGGTTGTGTGAGGAATCAATCAACCCTTGCCTTTAGTTTTTGAGTGATGGATCAATGAATAATCCGCGAATTTAACTTTGAAGGTTCTCGGTTCGATTGGACATCCACTTAGTCACACAGAGTTCAAAATTGTAGATGCTGAGACTGGTGAATCTCTTCCACCCGGCACAAAGGGAATTGTAAAAGTTAGAGGTCCGCAAGTGATGAAAGGTTATTACAAGGTAAGGGAATCACTCTGTAAGTAAATGTAGTGCCTCTACTCATTGTTTTAGGCTTGAGCTGGTTTCACTTTGTCTGTGCTGATATCTTACTAGAATCCGCGGGCAACAGAACAAGTTCTGGACAAAGATGGATGGATGAACACTGGTGATATAGGATGGATTGCTCCTCATCATTCAATAGGGAGGAGCAGAAACTGCGGTGGGATTATTGTACTTGAAGGGCGTGCTAAAGATACTATCGTTCTTTCTACAGGTGTATATAAGCGGGGAGAAAATGTTCATTAACTTGCTAAAGAAACTAACTAATTGTTCATGATTATCGTAACGTCGAACTAGCTTAACTCTTGAATGAAAAATAGGCGAAAATGTCGAGCCCTTGGAGATTGAGGAAGCAGCTATGAAGAGCAATCTTATTCACCAGATCGTTGTTATTGGTCAGGTATGGTGCTATTGTCCATAATATATTTAGTATTTACTATCAGTTTATAAATGATAGATCTTAACTTTTTCTACTCAAAATTCTATCAATGTGCTGCAGGATCAACGCCGTTTGGGAGCCATAGTTGTCCCAAACAAAGAAGCAGCATTGTTGGCTGCTCCAATGGCATCGATTGTGGACGCTGATGCTGATGCTGCTGCACGAACCAAGGATGAACTGACGAGGTTGATTTATGATGAATTGCGTACCAGGTAACTCGCCTATGATTAAAGAATCACAAGCATAAGAAGATTTATTGTTTGACTGTTGAGAGATGTGCATTTTCTAATGTAATCTAACACCTTTAAAAAAATGATAACAGGACAGCAGACTGCACGTTTCAGGTCGGTCCAATCCTGATGATCGATGAGCCTTTCACGGTAACAAGATACATAAAGATGACGCCTTTTTTACACCTATGTGATTTTACTGCAGAAGAAAGTCTAACCCATTACTGGGATTTGTTGGTTTTTTTCATCTTGTGGTGAATGCAGATTGAGAATGGGCTGTTGACTCCAACCATGAAAATCCGAAGGGACAGAGTGGCTGCCAAATATGAACAACAGATTGCCAATCTCTACAAGCAGTAATATGTATATGCTTATCAAACCGTGTGGTGGCGTGGCGGCCAAGTCAATATCTTGAGGAGATAGGAATGAAAAAGCTCTTTGAAATTGTCATCTCTGCTTCTTTGTAACAGGCTTGCAAATGCTGGTATTTACAAGCCTGGTGGTGGTCTCTGTTGTAAATAATTCTTTTTTAGTATTTACTTCCTGTAGTGATTGATACCACAGATGATACTCAGAGAAATTGATACCCAGATGATATTTTAAAGCATTATGGTGATATTTTAGCTCTGGCCATTTTATTGAGAAGAAAAATTAATGATACTAAAGAAATAATGCTGTATCGTTTCTTTTCGTGACTCGAATCGAATATTTTATTTATAATTTTCCTCCATTGGCATGAATTAATTAAGAAAAATGTTACATTTTTAATGGCTGAACAATGTAACTTTTGAGGGGAGCTCGAACAATAATTTTGAGGTGATTGGTTTCAGAGTTCTACCAAACTCTCCACTTTTAAGCTTTGCTCAAGGATAGATGGGAGTTTCTAAATTAATCTTTAGATAGGTTGTGGCTTAAGCTGAAGTTTTCTTTCTGTTTGTGGAGTTGAGCATCTGTTTTCATCATTAACATTAGAGAAAGTCATTTTGGTCGATGCACAAGGTGGTTGTTGTCGATGCGCAGTTCGATTCCAGAGGAGACTTCTGCTGTAATAGAGGATGTTTTAGATGAGCACATATTTGCGATAAGGTGTTGCAGAAATCTTGATTGTCTCTTGAGCATACTGAAATCTTGACAAGCAATAGTGGATAGTTTGATGTACAAGTCTGGTTTCGGAGGAGGTTTCTGCTGCAACTAACAGTGGTTGTTTTTGTATGTGTATATGACTGATATGTGCTGCAGAATTCTTGATCTAGAGATGGTGTCTCGAGGATACTGATAAGCTGAGCATATAGAACTTTAATTTGTGTCTTTGGAGAGAATCTCATATTTTTTTTATGTTTAGGAAGTGTTACATTTTGATGTCTGCTGGTGTTGTTGAAGCTGTGTATTTCTGCAGACCATTGCTGTTGTTGATGTGTTTTATATTTGGGTTAAAGACACATTTGGTCACTGAGATTACAAAATCGGGACATGTTTAGTCACTAGAAAAAATTAATATCAAATTTGGTCACTACAATTACTAAAACTGGACACATTTAGTCACTCGCCGTTAGTCTCCGTCCAACTCCGTTAATGAAGTCCGTTAAGTGATGATGTGGCAAACAGAAATGCCTAATCAGCCGGATATAACCCAACAAAAATAAAACCCGACCCGCCACGTCATTATAACCCGCCACGTCATTAAAACCAACCCAACCCAACCCATGACCCAACCCCACCCAACCCTTCTTCCTCCTTCCTCTCACCTCCTTCTTTCCCCAAAACCACCGCCGCTCTCCTCCTTCCTCCCACCTCCTCCCGCAAACCACACTGAAACCCTAATCGACTGACATAAGCCGACTGCGTCGAGTACCCGACGCCGGACGATTGAACGACCACAGAAGCCGTAGCTGCTGCTTCCATCCTCCCTCGATTGAACGAACCTCCGACGTGTATATATACCAAACCCTTCAAATCTCCTGGGGACCTCCGAAAATCGACAAATCACAATACCTCCTGGGAGGAGTCGGCGATTCATGCCGGTTTCTCCGCCGCTAATCGTGGGGATGGTGAAGTCGGAGCTGACCAGCAAGTACGATCTGAGCTCGCTTCTGGTACTGGGCTGCGGCGGGGCTCCGCTCGGGAAGGATGTCGCTGAGAAGTTCAAGGAGAAATTCCCCAACATGGACATCATCCAGGTATATATATATATATACAGTCTAATTGAATTGAAGAAGCTTTGTTGAAATTTTCTGGTTGGTGTGATTGAAATTTTGTGGGAGACAGGGATATGGGTTGACGGAGAGCGGGGGAGGGGGAACGAGAATGATGGATGCGGAGGAAATGAAGAACTACGGGTCGGCGGGTCGGATCTCGGAGAATCTGGAGGCCAAGGTTGTGGATCCGGAAACAGGGGAGGCTCTGGGTCCTGGCCAGAGAGCGGAGCTTTGGTTGAGAGGCCCAGTTATCATGAAAGGTTAGAATATTCTTATTAGAGGCTGCTAACAGGGAAGGGAACTCTTGCGAGGATTCGACTTTTACCTTACATGGTGGAAAATGGCTGTACATGCTTTGTTGGTTTATCAGGTTATATTGGGAAAGAAGGAGGTGAGAGGAAGGAGGAAGAAGGGTTGGGTGGAGTTGGGTCATGGATTGGGTTGGGTTGGGTTGGTTTTAATGACGTGGCGGGTTATAATGACGTGGCGGGTCGGGTTTTATTTTTGTTGGGTTATATCCGGCTGATTAGGCATTTCTGTTTGCCACATCATCACTTAACGGACTTCATTAACGGAGTTGGACGGAGACTAACGGCGAGTGACTAAATGTGTCCAGTTTTAGTAATTGTAGTGACCAAATTTGATATTAATTTTTTCTAGTGACTAAACATGTCCCAATTTTGTAATCTCAGTGACCAAATGTGTCTTTAACCCTTTTATATTTAATAAAATTACATCGTCACTATATAAAAAAAAGGGTTATGGTTTGATCTTGAACAAACTCTGAGCACAAAAACGATTCATGTGATGAATTGAACTAAAGGTAAATGTCATCATGTGAAAGCAAAACCCTAAGCACGACTTTGAATGATGAAAATTTCCAGAATGACGACAATTTAAAATCTCTTAACAACACAAAATAACCGTCCAGTGATTTTTGGATTTTCAGTTAAACTCGACTCTATGGACGCAAACTTAATTTATGTATCGACTTTCCATTCATTTTATACGATCTTCAAAGAGGGCTGCCAATCTTATAGCGGGACAAACCTTGGAGGAGTTCTATCGTTAAGCATTTGGTTTTCGGGTTGGATCTAGTCCTTAAGCCTCGGACCGGGTCCAACCGGGGGTTCGATAGGGGTTTAACAACCTTGCTCTAAAGCTCTACGCTTCCTTCTCATTTTTCGACGGACAGGCAGGGGGGAGGCATCTGTTGCTCCCCTGCAACAACAAATTAGAGCGATCTATGGTTCTAAACAGCATAAAGTACCACACCAATCCATACAAGTTTTTGACAAAAGGAGGCAATGTGATTTGCGGTGAAATGATTCCAGCAGTCCAAAAGTGCAGATGAAAGCTATTCAGAGCATGGGAAACATCTAATTTAATTTAACAGATTCGCACTAGATATTAAGACGACACCACAAAAAGCAAAGAAGCCCCATGTTCAGCCAGCGAAACTGGAAATCAGCTACAAGCGGCATGGCCAATCCTCCACAACTGTAGCCCTGGAAATTTTGGAGCCCTGCAATCACATTGCCCTGAGACCGGCGTGCCAAAATCTCCCAACTAGTCAAAAGAAGAGATGAGCTCAGCACCTTGCAAAGGCACTAAAAGGAAAAAACAGCACAAAAGACGGTAGAGAATTCAAACACACAAGCATATTTATGCACAGTCACCAGGGTGACAGTTTGTTTCTTCTCCTTTTCCCAGTCCCACGAGAAACCACACAAAAATGAACACAGGCCGTGACATTAGTTCCATCAATGGAGGATGACGGGAAGGTAATAGATAGGAGAAATCCTCCCTCTTAAACACTCGAGGACAAGCCAAGTCTAGGAAACCATAATATCCACATGGAAACATCCAGAGTGTCAAGTACTAAGAAGGAAGAAAGGATAGCAACTGGTACTTGGAACAAAAAAAACTTACCACTATAGAGAGAATCCGATGCAACGACTTCACATGGCTGAGCAATCCAGCTCCTTCACCAAACACCCGTCTCTGCCCATCCACAAAATGATAGGAATCTCGTGTTAATGAGTAGTTGAACAATGGATGAAATGAGAACTCATATATACAAGGGAAAGAAATTTGCAGACCTAGATAGCTGGTGCGGGTAAAGGCAGTGATTTTAGGGGAGTCAAAATCATTTGTGAAAACACCGAAATCCTCCACCGCCTCGCCTAAGATTTCACAACCACCATCATCATCAACCAATTTAAACATGTAAACCTTGAACTGGTTCCTCATTTGGAACCGATCAAGTCCCCACCAGAGAAAGAGACAGTAGACATCACCATCTCCAAAAGGAAGCACCATTGCGTCCCCATATAGACATTCAGCTGGTAGACTACGCGACGCCAACTCAGAAAGAGCACACAATTCCCTAGTCTTGTGTTCCTGCTGCAGCAGCTCAGCATAACTTGCCGAAGCATTCGACATGAACTTAACAAGGATGGCTTCAAAGGGGCGATGATGATCCTGCTTTTCCACCATAAACAACCGACCATTGTGAACAAGATTCGAACAGTGCGCCTCAGGGAACCGAAACCATGGGTAGATCATCAGCAACAGGTTGGGTATCATAGGTGTTCGGTAATAATGATCATCACACTCAGTAATGATGCGACGCCACTTTAGCTCTTCCATGTCAAGAGCAAACACACAGTGGCCAACATGATTGTGCATATAAACAATCAATTCCCTCCCTACAACTACATGACCCATGTAACCTGGAAGCGAAGAGCAACCTGGGATCAAACGGGGATCCCACATCTCCAATGGCGGATCAACGACTCGCGTGGAGAGATCCTTGAGGTTCAAAACCTCACAAGGAGCAGAGAGGTCCGGGTACGCCAAGGGGTGATAAGCGCTCGACAATATGAAAATCTTGTCATCCTTGTAAGGAACGTGGATCGGCTTGACCTTGGGTGCCTTCAGACGGTCTGCGTATTGCTTGAACTCGAGGGGTTGCTTTTGGATGTCGGGGTCCGTTCCCAGATCGCAGACGTACAGATCTCGCGGGTATTTCCAGTACGGGAAGCCATCGTCATCAGTATCGTCAATACCATTGGGAGAGGTATTAAAGCCATGACCACCAAAAGCATATAATTTCGAATCTACGAGTGCGAGACCCATCTGCACGAATCTCCCGCGGAAATCGCAGCTGGGGGCGACGGTGACGGTGGCGGTGCGAATTCCAGCCGGGTCCGCCGTCTTGTTTTTTCGGCCCATCAGAAAGATGGTCACCTTATTTACGGAACCAGAAACAATTCCACTATCCCACCACCTCCGCCGGGGCTTCTTCCGCTCCGGCGAGTCCGAGTCTGAGGACATTGTTTGGCTTTACCCTAACCTCACCAAAGAATCAACAACGAGGGTAAATTCGTCTGCGTACGTTTACACCGTCTTACTTTCTACCGATTGAAGGCGACCAGAAAAATAACAGGCAGGTGAAATAGAGGATTTCGTCGGCTCCCAGACGAATGAAAGAGGATAGAGGGGAGCGGAGTAGGGGAGGGGTGGAGGACAGAGCAGGGAGGGGAAGAACTTTTAGTGTATTGGGTGTTGAAGATGCTGGAGTGCTGAGGAATCTGAATCCGAATCCGAATCCGAATCCGTTCTGGAGAAGGAGATCAAAACTGTGTCGTTGAAGGTTTAATCGCTTAAGTGTAGGGCTGTTAATGAGCCGAGTCGAGCCGAGCTTTGTCATAGTTCGGGCTCGGCTCGTTAATATATTTCCAGGCTCGAACTCGGCTCGTGTTCGTCACGAGCTTTAATATGCAAGCTCGAGCTCGGCTCGTTTATGAAAATGAAAGCTCGAGCTCGGCTCGAGCTCGGCTCGTCAAATAAGCTTAACGAGCCCAAATTCGAGTTCAGCTCATAAAATGTTCGTGATAGCTCAAGATTGACCTAGAACTGCGCACAAAATTACATTCAACCCTGTAACAAAGTCTAGAAAAGTAAAACACAATATTTATCCCAATTTCAATACATAAAATCTATGAATTCTAATCCTTTTTTTATGCCAAAATATTAAATGAGCTTGTTCGCGAGCTTTCGAGCTGAACATGATATGGCTCGAGTTCGGCCCGTTTAGTTAACGAGCTTGTTCGCGAGCCGGCTCGATTAAAACGAATCGAGTGTCGAACGAGTTTTTCTCGAGTCGCACACGGAGCCGTTCATGAGCGGCTTGGTTCATTAACAACCCTACTTAAGTGTCCTTAGACTGTGCCGTTTGGTATTTTTCTGTTTTGGTCATTAATGTTTGTCCTGTGTTAGTAGCAGTCAGTCTGGTAAACTAGTCGTTGCAGAGGTTAACGTTAGCAGAGCAAGGTTGTTAGTCTTGGAGCCAATCTCCAGGGATTAGGTAGTTAGAGTTGAGTGTCAAAGCCGAGTCTGAGGGCTTTCAGTTGGGAGTCCAGTGTACAAAGATTGATTTCCATTCAATGAATAAAGCTGTCAGTTTGCGTTCAATTAGCTTTCATTGTGGTATCAGAGCTACTGCGAACTGTAACCAACGAGAGGTGTGATTTGAGCAATTGAGAGTTGAGTGAAATCGCTTAGGTTCTGGGTTTTTGGGAAACACGAGAGAAAGTGAGGTTTCAATCACTGGTGTGAGAGAATCCAAAGAGAAACAGAGATATGAGTGTTGACAGCAACTTATCTCAAGTGGGAATTCCCAAATTCGATGGGGATTATGATCACTGGAGTATGTTGATGGAGAATCTGCTTAGGTCCAAGGAACTATGGACAGTTGTGGAAGATGGATTCAGGGAAGCTGATACTGGGTCTGTGCTGACTGAAGCTCAGACAAAGACATTGGAGGCAGCTCGTTTGAAGGATCTGAATGCCAAAAATTACCTTTTTGGCTCCATTGATAGGAGCATTCTGAAGACTATCACTCAGAAGGCAACCTCCAAGCAGCTGTGGGACTCCATGAAGACTCGTTATCAAGGAAACGAGCGTGTGCAAAAGGCAAATCTGCAAGGACTCAGAAGGAATTTTGAGTTGCTACAGATGAAGGAAGGAGAGACTGTGACCAGTTACTTTGGAAGGGTAATGGTCATTGCAAATTCAATGCGAAATTGTGGTGATGACATGACAGACACCAAAATTGTGAAAAAGGTACTTCGCACTCTCACTGAGAAGTTTAACTACATTGTTTGCTCAATTGAGGAGTCCAAAGACATCTCTGAACTGTCAGTAGATGCTCTGCAAAGCTCTTTGCTGGTTCACAAGCAAAAGTTTACAAGGTTCTCTACTGATGACGAGCAAGCCTTACAAGTATTTGGTGCTGGAAGAGGTCGAGGTGGAAGGACTGGCTATCAAGGCATGGGAGGTAGAGGAAGAGGAAGATTATGGAACAGAGATCAGGTTGAATGTTTTAAGTGCCACAAAATGGGGCATTTTAAGGCTGAGTGCCCTGAGTGGCAGTCCCAAACTCATTACTCCAGCTGGGACTCCACTGTTATCAGAGATGATGTTCTCTTAATGGCATATACAGAAGAGAAAGGAGCTGGAAATGGCTCTACAAAGAAGGATTCTGCCTGGTGGTTTCTAGACAGTGGCTGCAGCAATCATATGTGTGGAGATCAAAGCTGGTTCATCAAACTCAATACTGGCTTCAAAAGTGAAGTCAAGCTAGGGAATGGCAGCACACTGGATGTTCAAGGAAAAGGGACTATAAAAATGATAGTTGAATGAGTTCCACTTGTCATTCAGAATGTGTTCTACATTCCTAGTCTGAAGTCCAATCTGTTAAGTGTGGGACAAATGCAAGAGAAGAACCTAGCATTCACAATAAAAAATGGAAGCTGCAGGATTTATCATGAGAAGCATGGACTATTACTTCAAACATCTATGAAGTCCAATCGAGTGTTTGTACTACAGGCTAAGAAACACACTGCAGATGGTGGTCATTGTCTACAAACTGCTCATCATGACACACTGAATCTATGGCATCGAAGATTTGGTCATCTGAGCAAGACAGGACTGCTTCAGTTGGAAAAGAAGAAGCTGGTGCAGGGGCTTCCCAGGCTGACTGGGGAGTTGGAAGTATGTAGAACTTGCACGGTTGGAAAGCAAAGCAGAAACAAGTTTCCAAAGAAAGGAGCATGGAGAGCCACTAGACCACTCCAACTCCTACATGCTGATCTATATGGTCCTCTCACTCCAACTTCAAATGGAGGGAAAAGGTACATTATGACGCTTACTGATGACTATAGCAGAAAACTCTGGGTTTACTTCTTCAATGCAAAGTCAGAAACTTTAGCTTGGTTCAGAAGGTTTAAAGCACAAGTGGAGAATGAAACTGGGAGGTCCATTGCTTGTCTTAGAACAGATAGAGGAGGAGAATTCTTATTACATGAGTTCAGAGATGTTTGTGAAGAAGCAGGTATCAGAAGACAACTAACAGCTGCACTCACTCCTCAGCAAAATGGTGTTGCTGAAAGGAAGAACAGAATTGTTCTGAATATGGTAAGGTGTTCTCTGAAGGATACCAAGGTTCCCTCATCTTTCTGGCCTGAGGCTGTTGATTGGGCTACACATATACTCAACAGGAGCCCAACTATAGCCAATGAGGGTAAAACACCACAAGAAAGATGGACAGGAAAGCCTCCCTCAGTGAATCACTTGAAGGTGTTTGGTTGTGTGGCTTATGCTCATGTGCATGATAGCTTAAGAAAGAAACTAGACAGCAAAAGTATCAAATGCAACTTCCTGGGACTGTCTAAGGAATCTAAGGCTTATAAGCTTTTCAATCCTGAGACAAAGAAGATCATCATTAGCCGAGATGTGGTCTTCAATGAAAAAGAAGGCTGGATATGGAAATCTACAGAAGAACCTGCATTGACTAAGCTGGTATGGGAAGGAAGTGAAGAAGTCTGGAATGACTCAGAGGAAGAAGAAGGAAGTGAGGGAGAAGAAGGAGAAGAACCAGTTACTGAAGAAGAGAGTGACAGCAATTCACATTCTGCAGATGAGAGTACTAAGACCAGTACTAATCCTTCCAGCTCTCAGACCTCATCTGAAGAACCCACTACATCACCAACTGCTCAGGCAGAAGAAGAAGAAGAAGAAGAGGAAATGACTGATGCACTGGGACTACCAATTAACAGTGAGTTAGGCCCCAGGAATCGAAAGTTCCCTAGTCGATTTGGAGACTATGATTGCTCTGGGATGCCTAACTTGGCATTTACTGAAAGTGACATGTGGGCTTTGGTAGCAGTCAGTGGTGATCCAACCACTTTCGAGGAAGCAGTACTGGATGAAAAGTGGAGACAAGCTATGAAGCAAGAAATTGAGGCTATCAGAAGAAACCTTACTTGGACTCTAGTTGACAAACCACCTGGAGTAATCCCTATTGGAGTCAAGTGGGTTTACAGAACAAAGTTAAGAGAGGATGAATCAATTGACAAATTCAAGGCAAGATTGGTGGCAAAAGGCTATGCTCAGAGACATGGAATAGATTACAGTGAAGTGTTTGCACCAGTGGCCAGGTGGGACACTATAAGGACATTCTTAGCACTTGCAGCACAACATGGTTTAACTGTGTACCAGTTAGACATCAAGAGTGCATTTCTGCATGGAGAACTTACAGAGGAAGTTTACATCCAAAAACCACAAGGATTTGAACTTCCTGGTGCAGAAAACAAGGTTTACAAACTACAAAAGGCCTTGTATGGCCTGAAGCAGGCTCCCAGGTGTTGGTAGAGTCGAGCGCGAGACTCAAGAGCCAAATCTCCCCTGTTCTTCGACAATTTGGGAATCTGAAAACCCTAACTGCGATTTCGGCCAAATCAAGTGAGGAAGGTGAAATGAATTGAAAATAAGTCAGCGATAAGAGTAAAGAGACTTCTCTCTTTGTATTTGTCAAAACGGCACCAAGTTAATTGAAACGGGTTGGGCTCTAATGAGTATCTGAAGGCTAAAGTGAAACCGGCCCAACTTGCTTGAGTTAAACTCTGCGTTTTGCAAACACTTCTTTCTTCTTCCTCCCTCGAGCCAGAGAATCAAACCTGCTCTGTAAAATTCACACTTCGCACTAGATCAAGGTCTTTTAGAAATAACTGGAAATGAAATGAAACAGTAAAAACTTAAATAAACTCAGACACGATCTTTTTACGTGGTATCCGGTGTTAGGCAATCAATGGAACCTAACACCGACTAATCCACGGTCGAAGGATCTCTGATATGAGACCTTCGACGTTATACTATACTCTGTGTTTCGGATTACAGTGTACAGCTTGATCTCACAGTGACTCCCCGTCACTTTGATCAGAACCCCTTCGAACCTACTGCTCCCTGCTGTAGTTCAAACTCACACCACTCCTTCAAGCTATCTCTCTGACAGCACTCTCCTTCTCTAATCAAAACTCTTACTGCACTCTTTGCTCTTGTTTTGATTTTCTCGAAAAGGACACCTCTCTCTACCCATAGCTTTTTCTCTTTATACAAAATGTCCTCCCAACCGTTAATCCTCACACAATCAATTAAGTTGATCTTGCTTTGATTCTGATTTGGTGATGCCTTCCTTAGTTGTTCACTCGAGAATGGAATTTCCTTTTGTTCAAGCAATTTCCTCAAATAGAGCCTGAAGCAAGCTTGC